CAACTGTTCATTATTCTTTTCAGTCTGTCGCGGAGCTCCACCGAGAGTCCATCATACACCACACAGCAGTAGTCAAAGTGGGGGAAGATGAGAGAGGAAACGAGGAGTCTGCGCGTATGTTGAGGTAGGAGATGGCGGAAGCAATGGAATAGTTTGAGGGTAGAGACTGTCCGTCGGGAGATGTGAGAAATATGGTGACTCCAGGAGAGGGTTTGATCAATAAATAGTCCTAAATTTTTTACAGAGGAGTAGAAGGAGATTGGCTGGTCACCAAGGTTTAGTATGGGAAAGTCCGTATAGGATCTAAGGAGGGGCTTGGAACCAATGACAATGGCCTGAGTTTTTGAAGCATTTAACCTTAATCCGTTTAATTTTGCCCAGGCACAGATTCGATCTAGGTCTGCTTGGATCTTAGTAAATGCTACCAATAGCTCAGGGGGAGAAAAGGATAGGTATATTTGAGAATCGTCTGCATAAAGGTGGTGGGAACAATGGAGAATTGAGTCATGGAGGTCATTGATATAGGAACTAAAAAGGAGAGGAGATATGCTAGATCCTTGGGCGACTCCAGAGGATAAAGGCAGGTAGGCAGATAGTGGTTGATTAGGAATGGAGACTGCTTGGGTGCGTTGTGATAGGAAAGATTGGAACCAAGAGATGGAGCTATTGGAGAAGGAGAGTGATTTTAGTTTGTTGAAAAGGATGGGATGGTTAATGGAATCAAAGGCTTTAGAGAAGTCAAGAAGTATAAGGACAGTTAGTTGTTTATTATCTATTGCAGTCTGAACATCATTAGTAATTTTGATTAAGGCGGATTGTGTGGAGTAGCCGGGACGGAAACCAGATTGGAGAGGATCGAGTTGGTTAGACTTTTCTAGGAAATTGGAAACTTGGGATTGTACCAATCTTTCTAGGGGTTTTGAGAGATTGGAAAGAATTGAGATTGGGCGAAAGTCTTCGGGAGAGGATGGATTAGGCTTTTTATTTAAAGGGAGTACAATGGCTTTTTTCCAAGAGGAAGGGAATATTGAGTTCTGTAGGGAGAAATTGTAAATGAAAAGGAGAACTGGGAGGATTTCGGGGAGACATAATTTTATCAATTTGACAGGAATGCCATCTGGTCCTATGGAATTGGTGTGGGATTTCATTACTGCGGTTAGTAAGTCAGTCGGGGAAATGTAGGAGAAATAAAAGTCATCATCATTAAATGATGACTCAGGAGCATAGTTGGAAGAGGAGGGAAGAGAAGAGGTAGAGGAGGCAGAAATAAAATGTGAATTTAAATCGTCAGGTGAAACGGAAAAGAACAGTGAGGAAGGGGATCTAGAAGGTTCACAGAGGGAAAGTTTGCGAAGGATTAGCCATTTAGATTTGGGATCTGGGGCAGATGACAGGGCTTCATGGAAGTAGGAAGCTTTAGCTCGCCGAATTCTTGTTTGTGTCAAATTGCGGAGCACCCTAAACGCTTGATAGTCATCTGTAAGCCTAGTACGTCTAAAGCGTCTGCGGGCAGCATCACGCCTCTTCTGCAGATCCTTGATTTCTTGACACATCCAAGGTGCAGGCCGACGGCGAAAGGTTGATGTTTTTATGGGAGCATGGGTGTTAAGGATATTGAGGAGATTGGAAGTCAGGATTTCAACCATGGAGTCGATGGAGGAGCAGGAATATATTTCGTTCAAGTCTAAGGTTTCAAGGTCAGGTAGTATTTTTTCACGGGTGAGAGTGTCTATCTGACGGAAAGTAAAGGTTCTCGGATGAATCAGAGGGGTTTGGATATTATATGTTATTTGGATCATGTCGTGAGACGATAAGAAGGATACTGGCAGTTGAGAAGAGGAGAGGAGATTTATTTCGGAGTCTATAATGAAGAAGTCTAACCAAGTGTCGGCCTTGTGGGTGTGGTGAGTAGGATAAAAAGGAACAATAAAGAGATGGAGGGAAAAAAATAGGTTTTCTAGATATATATATATTAATTTATTTATTTTATGTTATAATTGGAAAAACACCAACCACGTAGGCAAATTATGATTCCAAAACGAAGGCAAAAATCCCGTCAACCCAATTCAAGCACCAGCAGGACAGAAGACAATAATACTCCGAACATCAACAGCAAATCGCATACTGGAAGGAACGTAAGGTAACACAGCAAGGGAAGGTTATAATCAAACAGCTGATTAGGGGAAAAAAATTCTGACAAAAATTATGCGATATATAAATCAAAATTCATAAATATGTTGCATAAGAAAAAAACGCTGCAAATGATTTCACAATGGTTTATTATCTCCAAACAATTATACATCTAAAGTAACATTACCTTCCGAGTTACAAAGAAAACAAAACAAAAGGTGATTCCAATTATTGGACTAAACTGTTTTTCTTTAATCATTAGTAATATGCTAAAAAAAAAAATAGCATTATTTCAGTAACACATTTAAAATTTAAAAACCAAACCAAGGATATAACTTTTGGAGTAGAACACATAAAAACAAACCAGAGACCATATCTTTGCTCCTAATTGTCCGATTTTAACTATTTTTTTTTTTAGGAAATTTCATAAACTTTTAAAAAACCATAAAAATACAACAACAACTAAAAAGTAAAAACTTTTCGAGTTATTCGGAATTTAATTTTAACATCCCTCGTAACTTTTTTTCCAACTTCTAATTCCAGTTTTTTTTCGTAACTTCTTTTCGTTGAAGTATGATATATAGATAAATTTAAAGGGCGTCGAGAAAATGACTTTAGCGAAGTTTCATTGAAATCTGTAAATTCGTTTAGGAGCTACAGTCTATAGCAACGCAGGTTTTTCGGCCGTCATTTTGAAAGTTAAAGGCGGAGAGTAATGTCGATGAAGGAGGATCATCCTCGGGTGACCTCTGATTTTATATCAAAATTTGAAAAAAATCGGTCGGAGAAATTGCGCGGACGGCGGACGGACAAAAAAATTTGTATTCGTTTTTCGAATTCTACGCATCTTGAAACGTGAAATCTCAAATTTTGAGAGGAGGTTATGTTTTTGAATTTTTTGGTCGATCACAATGTTTCATTATTGAAAATAATAAACCAAAAACTATACGTTGAAGGGATTTTTGCATTTTGGAGATATATGGCTGTGTGGTTATAATTTTTCCAATTAAAACCCAACATTTATGGTCTGTATCTTGTTTAGTTTGTTACTGATTTATATTATTTATTTATTATTATAATTGGTAATTGGTTGACTGTCGTGGATAATGAAGAGAAGAATAGTTGGGGTGCTCAGTCAAAAGTTTTTCCTAGTAAAAAATAAATAATAAAAAATAAAAAGTAAAAAATAAATATTATAATTTATTTTTTGCCTTCCTTTTTTGACTGAGCACCCCAACTATTCTTCTCTTCATTATTTATTATTATCTGTTTATGCTATTTTCTGCAAACATATTGCAGTTATAAGTAGCCCTTTTCAGTTTTCTTTATGCAGCATCAATACATCTGGTTTTTGGCCTTATTTGTGATCTCTTCCTTACTATTGAAGCATTCGCTGTTTAGTGGCTTTCTTATTTCTGCGAGCTCCCTTTACTTTCTAGCTTTCACATCATGAGATTTCGATTGACCAGTTTCTGAAAGCAGTTCTTTATTGGTCTTCTCCTTCCTAGATAGCTTCGATTATCCTGTCTATGAGTTTACTAACAAATCTTCCAATATTTCTTTCTTGGATCCTGATTAATTTCCAGGTCATGAAGCCTAATTTGAGATTTCTTGATTATTTACTTTTGATTTATATTATATTTGTGGTTAATGAATTACAAAATGCTCTGAATCATTTAGTGAACACAGCCAGATATAACTGAACTTTAACTTTCTATAAATAATACTCTAGCATTTACTGATAATCTATATGCGTTCCACGGATTTTCTAAATCCTGAAATGATAAGAATTAACGATTATAAATCCTTGTGAATAGGCAAACTTACATCACTTGTTGCATTCGTATGCGGAAACTAAATCTTTCCTGTAATTAATTCTTTAATTAGATTGCTTTGAAGTCTTATCATACAAAGGCGAACCGGCACTTCAACAAAATTAATTTCGATAAAAATCGTTAGAATCTTTTAAATTAAATTATTATTCTTGAAATCGCCGTCTTATCATTTATTTATTTTTTTTAAATTAGATACCAGTTATTGGTTTAAAATTATATTTAAGTAGCTCTTACTGCAATGTATATTTAATTTAAATATATTGCCTGCAGTATATGATAAAATATTAATTAAACAAAATTTGAACATAAAAACTCATAAAATTAATATTGATATGGAAATATGAGAGCTTAAAATTTACAATTATTTTAATTAATAGTTGAGTTTTATCTGTCAGAATAAAAGGCTTTTTTTTTTTTTTTTTTTTTTTTTTTTTTTACAGGTACGGTATTTATATTTGTATGAAAAATGCTTGTCTTAACTAGAGATGCGTTTCAATATGGTATATAGGTATGAGCTAATGTGTCAAATGAGATTTTGAGATGGAATTTCTTTTAAGGTACTCAACTTTTTCTTCCATCCCCACCAGGGTTTTTAAGGTTTTTCAGCATCTGAAAATGTTGAAATGTGTATTTCAATGAAGTTGTTGAGAGAGAAATACCTTTTTGACGATCTCACTTTTTTTTCGTCAATTTATATCCACGCCATTTTGTTTAAATTAATAAAATGTTTAAAAAAAAGATATACACCGTTAGAAAGATATTCAGCAGTGATATATAATTCATAATTCTTTACAATTCCCTCAAGTATGCATTAATAAAACAATTATTCATTTAACTTGTTTATGTTTAGCAAACAAAAATGAGAGATTTAGTGAAGAATTTCTGTTGCTCATACTTATTTATTTTATTTTTTCATTGCAATAATCGATGGATTTTTTAACAAGCAGAAACGAAAAATGTACTAAGGGAAAAGGTTGTGTTGTAGAAATCGCTTTGCTTTAAAATACTGATAAAAAAACTATTGTATCATTTCAGTTAGGGTCATTGGAAGGACAGACTTTCAAGAAGAGGGGTGAGCTTGTTCAATTGAGCGCTCAGAATTTGATCGATTGTTCGAATGCTTACGGCAACTTGGGATGCAGAGGCGGAAGAGCAGCCTACGCATTCAATTACATCAGGGATAATGGAGGCGTTGATCTTGAACAGTTATATCCATATGAAGCGATCGTAAGTACGATCTATGGTCATCGAATAGAAACGAATCATACTTAATACTATAAACTCAAGTATTTTACTTTAATTCGAGATGGTCTTCTAAGTTGCGTTTTTCTTCGTAGGACGGACTATGCAGATTCAAATCTGCTTACATTGGTGCACAAGACTCCGGCTATACCAACATACCAAGGGGAGACGAAGATGCACTTGAAGAAGCCGTAGTCACCGTAGGTCCAATTGCTGTGACGGTGGACGGGAGTCGATCTTCTTTCGCTCATTACAGTGGAGGTTACTATTTTTGTTTAATTGTTTTTGAAAATATTTCCAAAATATTAAACTAAATCCTCTAAATAATCTGTTTTTGAGTTGACACTGTATTGATCTAGTCGTACAATATTATTATATTATTATTAATTCCTCGAATCCCTTAGGAGGTACATAGAGTGAATGGATAGTCGTTGTAACTCCATTTGATCATTTCTTCGAAAATGAATTACATGGCAATAAATGAAATAGGACTACTTTCAGCCGATTTAATTGCAGAAGCTATTTAAAGTTGTTCATTCTCTAAAACATTTGCGAGAAAATACAATAAAGTATAGATTAAGCAGTGAATAAGTAAAGGAGACAACGGGACTGTTTTAATTTACAATAATGTTATAGTTTTATAAAGGCATATCTGCAATCAAATTGGTTATGAGGAGATATTTTTCATTGTTTTTTTTGGAAGATTATTGTGTTCATTTCTTTTTGTTGAAATGTTCAAGGGGAGTTAGATGAACGACTTTGCATACCAAACAAGCGCCGTCACGAAGTTCTGCAAGACACCTCAATCTCCAGCAAGCTTCATGACTCAAAATCTGTTCAACAATCAGTTTCACTCTATACCTCTACAAACCTAAATCACCAAACACTATCATCTATCAAAAACCCTCTAATAATACACCTCCAACCCCATCCAAACCTACCAAAAAATACCATAACACAATTTTCAATCTACCACTCCCCCCTCTAAAATCCAATTCACATAAACCTCCCAACCAACCATACATAACTTCCTCCCAAAAACCATCCCAACATAAACACAATTACCCCCAATTATTTACCTAAAACCCTAACCCATCACAATCATCAACTACAATACTAATAATCCCCAATCCCATAATTCACCACCTTCAAAATATATCAAAAACCCATACCCTATCACCTTCCCTTCCAATAATTTCATACCCAACATAACTTTTACACACCCATCACCATACCCCCACCATAACCCCTACCGACTTAATAAATAATACAATCTAAACCCAAACAACCAAATCACACTACAAATACATCTCCACCAAATCTCTACATCATTCACACCCAACCACTTCCCCTTCCTCCACCCAATTTCATAACCATATTCAACCCCTTTCTAACAAAAACTAAAATAAACCTTCTCAAACCATAAAACTACAAAAACCATAAACACCACAACACCCACCATATACTCACATACCACCACTCCATATTACTACTTCACTTCACTCTTCCTTTCCTATACTATTATAATTACAATCAATAAATTACCTCCATTTTCTCCTCCTTTTCACCCAAACAATACATACCCTCTCAACCCACATTTTCCAATCCTACCCCTCAACAACAACCTCAAATACCAAATAAAACACATCATTAAACCACTCCAAACAATCAAATCCTTACCTTCCCTTAAAAAACCCCCCCACCCACATCCCCCACCCTTCTCAACTAACAAAAACAAATAACCAACTAAACACATCCAAATCATCCAAAAAAAACAAACACACCCTTAAACAAATACAAAAACAATACCACCAATTAAAAAACCCTAAAAAAACCCAACCACTCCAAAAACATACAAACCTCAAATTTACTTTTTAGGGCATCAAAACGATTACTTTCAAACATATCGCACATACCTTTCAGATAGCTGCTGGATGCCTTTTAAATGAAGTTATATCGAGTGTAACAAACCAGCTGTCTGTTTGATGACCTAGTTCGGATGGCTTAAATCGGGCTAAAAAGGGCTTATAAGCCGTCTTAAAGATATGTTTTAGACATCTCATATTTTGGTCAAGACATCCGTTAGCCACATTTTAGATAAATTATTGCTGGTTGGGTTTACTTTTGGTTATGCACCAAGTCATGTACATTGAAAGAGATTGGATAAGTTCATCCGATCCATTTTTATTAACTGAATTGGGATTTCACCTGACCCAGCAGATTTGTAGTTTTTCCTTTCTAAAAGTGAATTATTCCTTTAACTGATATTGTTAGAAAGACTTCCTGTTCTCAGATTTCTGTTATCCTTCTTATTGGTTGAGTTGTATACGCCAGTCTCTCTTCCTTGAGTAGGCTTGAAAAATACTGAATCCAAATATCAGGTAGCCAACATTTTACACAGTCTATGGTAATAAATTCGTGTTTAAACTAAATGTCACCAAAATAACTGTGATAAAATAATTAGAAAACTTTTTTTTTTGCTCTTTTTTGGCTTTAAGACTTGTAAAAGCAAGTTCTATTTTGCCAGTAAAATATTTTAATTGTCGTGGTAAGATGAAATTACACTTGATATTTATTAATTATTTATAGATAGATGATCACTGAATGTAACTTATATAGAACTTAAAATAGAAAGACTAATAGTTAAAAACTGAAGTGACAGTAATTTCATAACAATTAAATGAGAATAAGAGGAGAAGGAAACATTAGACGTCTTATGAAAATGGCATGTAGAGAAGATTCGAAAATCGCCAACTTTATTAAACAATAGAATAAAACATTAAGGGCCTAAATTATTGTAATAGATTAATTATGTAAAAATGACTGTGCACAGTCCTACAAATCTCAAAAACCATTCATGTTAAGATTCATAGAGGCAAAATAGATAAGTTCATTCATATTGAAGTACCCGTTAGTGATCTGCTATGTTGGTAGCGGTATCAGCATTGATATTATTTAATCAAAATTTCTAATATCTTCTAAGAAGGTTTTTTATTAATTCTTGGTTGTTCATTACCACAGATATTTAAAAATGGGATGTTTATAATACATTAGTTTGTATTGATCAACATTATATTTATTTGAAAATATGAAATCATTTTCAGGTAATGAAGGATAATTAAATACTGGAATAATCAAATACTTTTAATGATTAAATAAAATAGTTCATCATTTTACTTAATTATTTGTTTTTAAAGGGAGCAGCCGAGAACTGCTGAAGATTCTTAAAAATTCGAAGAGGTTGCACCAATCTTGGTATTCTAGTTTAGCTCAGGCTAAAAGAACTAGTGAAACAAATCCTGTAAGATTACCCCATTCTAAGGAATTTATCAGTAGAAGTATTTTTGCACTAATCTTATTTTTTGCCCTAGGCCCTTCACAAGACAGATCAAATTGGCTTGTTTTATACTATAAATGAAGATGATAGGAAAAGGGTATTTTCACTTGGTGGTTTCCCAAAACCTTTTATGGACAATGTAAAAACTTTTACTGAATCAAGCATAATGATACGGGAGCCTGCCCTAGAAATAATTGATTATATGAAGAGAGCGGACTACAGCAGGCCAACTATCAGATATGTTCTCTGTATCCTTTCAGTTTTCTAATATTATCAATTATTTTGTGCCTAGTAAAAAAATTCTTTCAGATTGTTAATGATTTTTAATTTTAAGCATTTTTCTTTTCGATCTTCTCTTCTGTTATTTCCTTAATCCATAGCTTTAGATGGAAAAGCAGGACTTGGAAAGTCTTTGACAGTAGCTCACATACTTCATTATGCCTTCAGCAATGGTTTTTATCTTCTTCATGTACCTTGGGGTATGTAATTATTTGTATTTATAATATTATTTTGTTAACTCAATTTTTGGTGCTACTGTAGAAGTGTTGCTCCATGATGACACTATAAATGGGAATAATAATCGATCATAAAAATGGTTCAGTTTTGACAATGTGTTCAAGTTATAACTTCCCTTTATTTCAATCGAAATTTATTACTCCATGACAAATTCTTAACTGATCCTTTTCAGCTAAAATTGGGTCCTTAATTAGCGTTAATTACATTGCTGCATTCGAAATCCACTTGCTCAAAACCATAATGGGTCCTTTCTGTTGTTATCAGGTTCTTTACTAGGTAGTTCGGTCACCTTCCTATTCTGTTATTTCCTGTATTTGATGTACAGTCATGTTTGATTACCTGAGACCAGAAGACAGGTTAGGGTACCAAATTAGTACTCTATATTTTTTATCGCATTTACCAAATCAACCTAAATTTCTTCTTATTATTCAATATTCTTTTCTACCTTTCGGTGTAGAGGTTTTTGTACAAGAATTTCCATACATCTCTGTCGAGGGCTCTCTCTCTCTCTGCTGGCCTCCCACCATCCAATTCCTCTAACTTTAAGAATATTCATGAGATTATCTTTTCAAATAATTCTTGGTCTTTCTCTAGGTGGTTTTCCCGCTGGTTTAGCTTCCGTAATTTTCTTTGCTGAACGGTGGTCATCCATCCTCATTACATGACTGAACCATCGAAGCTGCCCTTTTTCTATTATCTGGTTGAGGGATTCAATTTTTAGTGTAGTTGGTTTCATTATGTTGCGTATCCAGTCCCTCTTGGTCTTTAAGTACCTACTCGTCAAAAGATTTTTTTTTTGTTCAGTACATACTTATATATATATGTTTAGTTTCAAGGAAAAAGTTATAATATGACTCTTGAAATATAAAATATTCAATAAAGAAACCATTGAAAATTGTATAGTTCACAAAAAGATATATAATAATAAATAACCTTTATCTTTTTAACTTGTTGCAGTTTGGGATTGGTTTAGGAACAATAGGATAGAGTCCGTACCATCAACTTTTGTTGAAGGGCTTTTAGACTTTCCCGTGATATCAGCGAATTGGCTTAAACACTTTCAATCTCAGAATGAACACTTCCTCTCTGGTGAAGATGACAAGGTAATGTCTTAAAAAAAAAAATCTATATTTAACTGAATTTTGCCTTTACATGTTCGCACTTACTCCTTATTTTTGGATATTATTAGTAGAGGTACGCAGAAGGAGGTTGCACAATTGCAGAAGGTTGCACAATTTGCATATCAAACTTTTTGATGAGGCACATTTTTACAAATTTTTGGAGGGAACCATATTTTTATGAAGTTTCAATTGAAGGGGAGATGGGTAACCTGATTATTAGCATAACTCTTATTTTCTTGTTTGGAGTATGTTTATTTTATCTAATGACATAATTAAAGGAAACTTTTGCAGTTAAAAATAAATTAAGAGAAGTCAAAGAGATTTAACATTGACTTTAAATCAAAGTGAATCAAATGACTCATATCAAAGACGAACATCTGTAATTTTTAAAGAGTTGAGAAAAAAAAATAATTTTTGTAATGTAGCTTCAATTTACATCAAATCTGATGATTTATTTTTATGATTCAACTTGAACATTCTTGATTAAAACAATCAGAAACAGTTTGAGAATCTATAAAACAAAAATTCACTTTTTTTCCACTTTATAAAAATAATAGATTTCATTCTTTAATAAGAAGCAACTCATATGTACTTCTGATTTGATATAATTTGATTGTAACCCATAACATTTTTTTCACTTTTGAATAAAAGAGATAAAAGCCCATAATGCAACTAGAAATTTTCAAAATCATTTGGGTAAATTTACCATTTAATTACTATTTTAAAAAGATGAATTTTGGGACTGAGTTTTGATATAGCAAATGAATTTACATTTGTAAAGTAGTTGCTAAAACATAAGTCAAAACCTCAGCATTATGTATTTTTTTAAAAAGTTATTTAGTTGATATCTCAAAACTTGAAGTAGTATTTCAATGAATTCACTGAAGAGGACACTGTACGTACAGCTTATTTATGATGGTTCTCTTCTCCAGCTTGGCAATGGTGTCCTCAATGACAAAGAAATGCGGAAGACCATTATTAATAAGCTTGAAGAATGTCTATTAGCAAAACCAGTTATGAAAAAGAATAATAAAAATATATATAGATGTAATTTTATTTTAACTTTCTTAATTGTTTCCTTACAATGATTTTATATTCCATCAACAGCATTTTTGTAAAACCATGTCCTAATGTTTCATTTAGCATTTGATAACACTTCATATACTGTATCGCCTTCTTTGGACTATTTCTTTATGTATTTACTCCCATACCAGAATTGTAAGTTAGGATAACATATTTTGGATGTGAAGAAATAAACAACTAAACTATTTACTTATTATCACCCTGTTTTATCAGTAGTTCTTTTCTTAATGTTATCAGATAATAAAGACAAGCAAAGATTATGTGTGGAATCAAAGAGAAATGACCCCGGCCGGTAGTCCTCTCTCGGAGTTGGTTATCCATGGAATCAACAGGATCAAGTATGCTGGAGCTGTGGTTTCGGCTATCATCAATGAGCTGAAGTCTGCTGCGTCCGAAGGAAGGTGAGATTTTGTCATATTTTCAGTTATTATATCATGATATAAATAATAGACGATAACACTGTAATTTAAGTGTTGCATATAATAATTTTTAAAAAATGTTGCATATAATATTTAAAATATAGTGTGTAATGTAATTATCCACCATGAGTATTATAATAAGGACATCAAACAACTTTCTTATATTATTGGTTCTTACAATCAATTGCTACTGTTACTATTGCTCTCATTCACTTTCTCAAATCCTTAAGTTCATCATTCTATTTGTATTATTGTTTCCTATTTATTAGGACCTTGCATAAAATAAAATTACTAATCTGTTCTTTTAACTTTATTTAACAAACCTTTTAAGTTATATACTAGTTTGTTCAGTCCATGAGGAACACAAAGGGTGGGCTTATATGCATGTCAAACACCACAAGTCCGAAACATATATAAAAAAAAAAAAAAATCTACAAATATTTTATGCATTTAACACTCTTTTTTTCAGAAAAATAAGTATGGCAGATGTTAAGATAGTATTGGCTATTTCATTTGGTTTAAGGTATTTTAGGAATAATGGTAATATAATCCTGAACTCATAAGAACAAAAAAACAGTCTAAAATTACCTAATAAGGAATTTTTATTTAAAAAACAAATAGTACGAGTAGAAATACGTACTTGCACTTATGCAAAAATTGGTGCAAGCTTCCTTTTGTTTTTGCCCGAAAACCATTAATAAACTGGAGGATTCATAATTATTGTTTGTATGGATCTACTGTTATTGGTAGGAAGAATTAGTCCGGCAAGTGGGCCTCATGTTCCTTCTTACCAACTACTGAAAATTATCTGTACTTCACCGCCGCGTACCAACTTGAGTGAGAGTTAGTCTGTGGGCCAGACCCCCTTACCGTGCACCCCCCCCACATCCCTATAAATTGCATATCGTTGTGTTCCTTGTAACAATTTATTAAAAAAAAGCCAATGTTCCCACAAAAAAAAGTGAACGCACTGCCCCAAAATGGCGTCCAAAGATGGCGGATTGACGACTTTGACTTTAGTTAGTTTTTTGGTCACTGAGAATCAGCATTAAGCTTAATTTCCTCATAGTTGGTCTTTTATTAAAGCTGAATAGTTATAGAATAATAAAACATGAAGAAATATTAAAAAATAATTGTCTAAGGCTATGAAAAACACCAGTAAAGTCAATTTTTTTAACAAAAAAATTTTCAAGTTACAAATCAAGCGTCGTTTGTAATTAAACGGCCTACAATAACGCAAAACGTGCTGAAATAAACCATCTGGAGAATATATTTCTCTTTCTGAAACGCTGATTATTTTTTACAAATGTTTAAGTAGTTCCGTAAAAAATGCACTTATGCGGCAGAAAAGCGGTACTGGCGTGGGTGCCTACAGGCCTCTACCACACCATTCAGTGCCCATAAATGGCTTAGTTATAGTGATATAATAACATTTTTGGTACATTATATAGGTTTTATTAACGAACAAATATTAATGCAATAATTTTATAGTAAAAAAAAAAAAATTAATTAAAAAAAAAATTTATTATAATTTTTTTAAATTTTAACCTCCTTTATTTTATACGTAGGTCGTTTAAGAATACCTCAATTGTAAAAATGATATAATTATAATAATAAAACTTAATTAAAAAATATTTTGCTAAATATCTTGATTTTTTTTTATTTAACGTTTGCAATTTAACACTGTGTTTTGAATATTTACTGATTCTTAGAAGTAATTAAAATTTTTATATATTTCCCAGGAAATGAGTCATATTCATACCTTTTTTATAAACTAAAATAATATATACCTAATCTGAACTATATATAATGAATAGCTACCGGGTTGTTTAGTAAAACTCATATATCACTAATTAAAAAATTAATTTTTATTTCCTTTATTTTGTGCAGAAGTTGGACTATATCATAAATAAATAGGAAATTTTAATATTGAATGAATTATTCTCTATGCACAAAGAAAGATATAAAGGGTGACCCTATAAGTTCTTCTATAAACCAAAACTGATTGTTTGGATTTGATCTCAAAATGAGGAAAAACGTGAACTTAAACGAGAAAATTGGAAAAATACATTAAGCGAACGAGAAAGGAAGTGCCAAAACCTCGGAATAGATAAAAAGGACCAGTTATATCCATTATATAGCTAAATGAATGTATAGTAGATAGATGAACAGAATATTTCAAGATGCTGCTAAAACGGGATCAATTGCAGTTTGGATGATATTAAGTGGACGATGTAGGTTTATTATGGTGAAAACCACTTTATTTTCGATTGCTGAAGGTGCACCTCGGGACTATATTAACTTTGAAGATGAATATAGAGATGTATATCGAGAAAGTTATAGCTCATAGCTTTCCTTCTGTTTAGTGGATTTTCAAAAGATTTTTTAAGGGATCTAAAAGGAAAACGAGTTTTTCTGAAAGACAGTTAGATATTAGCATAATCCAAAGTGTGAGGCACTGAGCAGATAGAGAGCTATTTTTCTTTTTATGTGGACTTCTCTATAACCTGCCTTAAAGTGAAGACAGTCCCAATTTTCAACTTCTCTTCCAATGTGCAACTTGAGTTTCTCAATCCATATCGCTCCGGCAATCGACAATATTTCTTATTCCAGCTTCTACGATTCTTGTGTATAATTTGTTTGATACACTAAACAGGAATGGGTCTTGATGGGTATTACATTTCCTTGTATCTCCTTTCTTGTAAAGGTAAAAACCACAGTCCTTTCATATTATTTTCTAATATGCTTGTTGCCTATGTACGCGCAAAACTGTCAAAGCAGTTTGGTTTCGCCCTTTCCATCTTTCTTTGTGCAGAGAGAATAATACATTCAATATTAAAATTTCCTATTTTTTTATGATATGGTACAAATTCCTAACAATTCAAGAATAACGAGAAGAATAGCGAGCTACAACTAATATAAGATACCTTAAAAAATCTTTTGAAAATCCACTAAACAGAAGGAAAGCCATTAGCTATAACTTTCTCGATATACATCTCTATATTCATCTTCAAAGTTAATATAGTCCCGAGGTGCACCTTCAGCAATCGAAAATAAAGTGGTTTTCACCATAATAAACCTACATCGTCCACTTAATATCATCCAAACTGCAATTGATCCCGTTTTAGCAGCATCTTGAAATATTCTGTTCATCTATCTACTATACATTCATTTAGCTATATAATGGATATAACTGGTCCTTTTTATCTATTCCGAGGTTTTGGCACTTCCTTTCTCGTTCGCTTAATGTATTTTTCCAATTTTCTCGTTTAAGTTCACGTTTTTCCTCATTTTGAGATCAAATCCAAACAATCAGTTTTGGTTTATAGAAGAACTTATAGGGTCACCCTTTATATCTTTCTTTGTGCATAGAGAATAATTCATTCAATATTAAAATTTCCTATTTATTTATGATATAGTCCAACTTCTGCACAAAATAAAGGAAATAAAAATTAATTTTTTAATTAGTGATATATGAGTTTTACTAAACAACCCGGTAGCTATTCATTATATATAGTTCAGATTAGGTATATATTATTTTAGTTTATAAAAAAGGTATGAATATGACTCATTTCCTGGGAAATATATAAAAATTTTAATTACTTCTAAGAATCAGTAAATATTCAAAACACAGTGTTAAATTGCAAACGTTAAATAAAAAAAAATCAAGATATTTAGCAAAATATTTTTTAATTAAGTTTTATTATTATAATTATATCATTTTTACAATTGAGGTATTCTTAAACGACCTACGTATAAAATAAAGGAGGTTAAAATTTAAAAAAATTATAATAAATTTTTTTTTAAATTAATTTTTTTTTTTTTACTATAAAATTATTGCATTAATATTTGTTCGTTAATAAAACCAATATAATGTACCAAAAATGTTATTATATCACTATAACTAAGCCATTTATGGGCACTGAATGGTGTGGTAGAGGCCTGTAGGCACCCACGCCAGTACCGCTTTTCTGCCGCATAAGTGCATTTTTTACGGAACTACTTAAACATTTGTAAAAAATAATCAGCGTTTCAGAAAGAGAAATATATTCTCCAGATGGTTTATTTCAGCACGTTTTGCGTTATTGTAGGCCGTTTAATTACAAACGACGCTTGATTTGTAACTTGAAAATTTTTTTGTTAAAAAAATTGACTTTACTAGTGTTTTTCATAGCCTTAGACAATTATGTTTTAATATTTCTTCATGTTTTATTATTCTATAACTATTCAGCTTTAATAAAAGACCAACTATGAGGAAATTAAGCTTAATGCTGATCCTCAGTGACCAAAAAACTAACTAAAGTCAAAGTCGTCAATCCGCCATCTTTGGACGCCATTTTGGGGCAGTGCGTTCACTTTTTTTTGTGGGAACATTGGCTTTTTTTTAATAAATTGTTACAAGGAACACAACGATATGCAATTTATAGGGATGTGGGGGGGGTGCACGGTAAGGGGGTCTGGCCCACCGTGTAAGTATCAAGATTCATTTCTCAGGGCTATCAAGGACAAAACATTGACTGACCCAGACGGTAATTGAACCCACAACATTCTGAACTGGACACTTTTGGTACCCTTGACCATCATGTCTTCATATATGCCTGGGGAATAATTGATTAAGAATATAAAAATTTAAGTTGAAATCCAATTTAACCATAAATAACGCAACTAGTATTAGTAATGCAAACACATTGTTTTCAACTTCTCAGTGTAAAGTTGGTCCCTAATATAATCTCTCAAACTTAACTTAACATTGATCAGCAAACAATTGGATATGATTGATACGATAAGTCATTTACAAACTTTCTTGTTTAGGTGTAAGGTATTAGTCGCAGTTGACGGGTTTAATGGATTCTATAGTTCTGAATCTAAAGTCAAGGCCGAAGACAGGAGTAAAGTGCCTCCGAATAAATGTTCCTTAGTACACTGTTTCTTGGAAGCTACAAAACAGGACTGGGTAAGTGTAGTATCTAATTCTTTTTAATCCTTAAAGTATTAGCTATTATGATGGATAATTGATATATAAGTGTGCTTTAGCGTTACTGTTAACTTTTTAAAGTAATTTATATTAGTAGAAAAGTTATTGAACATTGCACCTTACTTTGAGGCAAATGGAACCCAATTTAAGTTTGAATATTTTAAAATAATTATTGAAATAATCAAAGATTTTTGGAAACACATGCTACAAATAACTAACTAACTAAACTAACTCGATTAGTAAAATGCACAATGGTGAGCAAAATTTGCCAAGTGAAATTCTGTGCGTTATCAGAGCCTTTTATAGTGAAAAGTGGCCTAAGACGGGGAGATGCAATAGTTCCTCTCCTGTTTAATATCCCACTATATCTGACTGACAGACATATATAGAATATGAACTAACAGAAAGTGACGCTTTATTGCAGATTTAATTTATACAATTTTCTCAAAAACTGCTTCAAAGATTTTGCTTAAGAAAACTATATCATAGGCGAGAGATGCGTGGGCACCAATAGTGTACGTGCACTGAATATAAAGGATAGCTCTGATATAAAATAGAAATACAATACAATAAAAATTAATGTTGCATTAAAAATAAATTTGCTGGTCTAAAGATGAAATAAGATATCGACAGCCAAACCCTGAAAGGACAATTTCTTTGGAAAATGAAGTTTTGAGCTTTTCCAGTCAATCTTGTGCTGGCGCATATTCTGATCCCACAAAATGAAATCTACGATGTTTCATTTCTTCTCTATGGCCTTTTGCAAAAACCTGTAATTTAAAAACTGTAAGTTACAGTGAAGGTTATAGAGATTGTGTTGTTACCAAAAAAACACAATGAAATGCTCAACAAAAGGTGGTCATGTGAATACAGAATGTATAAAGTTTTTTTGTGCATTGCATAGACTACAGTATCAATTATTTTTATTAATAGGCTAAAATTAATTTTTCTCATGCATTCTTTTTTTAAATTTCTAATAAGTGGCGGGCAATTCCAGCCCTGCAACTCTGTCAACTTCTGTGGACAAATGTCCGAGTTCTCCTGCCCCGAGGCCGGCACTGCTTACCATGGAACTAGGCGAAGTAAAGAAAAGAGTGGTAAGTGCGAATATAATATTGAGCAGACTTCAAAACAATCGAAACTTCCCGTTCAACTGCCAAATGAGCTTGACTGGAAAAATCTACATGCCGCCGAATTCCAGATATTCAGAGACGGAGAATTGATTTCATTAATTGGAAAATTTAACACGAGACAGAAAAATAACTCTAGTTTTATCTTTTCAAACTAGTGAATCTTCGAAATCGCAAGAAGCAAGTCTTACCAAAATTCGTGAATCAAATCATGTCCATGTGAAGTTGAATTCATTAAAAACAAAACTTTCATAAACTACTCCAAAATAGGGTGCATGCACTCCATCCGCCTCTACACTGGGAGACAAAAAAGTGAATAACCCATGTGATCAAATGCTCGCTTTCCAGTCAAATGTTTTACAAATTTTCACTTGAAGTATCATTTCTCAACATTTTGGATACTGACTTAGTTCCTGTCATGATTTGATCATTATTAACAAAGTTATGGGTCTTACTACAATAAATTTGATCACTTTTATCTAACTAATAGCTGTTTTTCAAAATGACTAAAAAGTTATAAGTTAGTAGTAATTGCTCTAACAGATTATTTGGGAGAAATACAATCGTAAAAGTTGCATAGAGCATTACATCTTTGTCTTATGCCTGCAGAAAAAATTAAACCGAAAATATTATGCTTCTAGAATACAAATTATGCAGTTTTTTTCGTCTCCTGAAAATTTTTTGTTTTTGTTCTTTCAGACTTCTACAGTGCGGCTGTCGATGTTTTTTTTTAATCAATATTCCTATATCCCAAAAATAAGATATATTGTTTTATTCTATATTCCCATATCCCTCACAGTAGGTGCAAAGAATTTAAAATTAATTATATTAAAAAGTTGACAATAAAAAACTTCCATTACAATTAAATGTTGTATTTCTTCTCATCCTGCTGACGTTTTGGAATGTTATCCTATCCTCAATTCATTTTGATTTCCATTTGAATTAAATTATTATAAAAGCTTTTGCTGGGTTATTTTTCAAAGAAAAATTAAGAAATGAGAGGTTCATTAGATTACTTTAAAAAAAAATGAACGTTTTAAGAAATATACTTAATTTCACACCACATTTTGTAATATTTAGATTTTTTTTTTTTTTTAAATTAATTGCACTTTTGGATTCATTGGCTACTTTTATACGGGAATCGATTACTTCTTGATTTCCATTTAAATCAGATTAGAGTTCACTTTGGAAATAAGCTAATCAACTGAACCTTTTATTTGTGTTATATTTCTCTGTCAACTTTATACAAATATAATTATTTCAAAAATATTTAAATATCTGTTATCAGAACATAGTAGCAGTATACCTGTTATATGAAACTAAACTGTTTGTAATTTTAGTTCTACAGTTCAAACATGATTAGTTCGCAGCCCTACGGTGAGCTCAAGAGACATTAAGTTGAAATTCAATGTTTGTTTTTTTTTCTAAATCTCTGATATTCATAAACACACATACATACATACACACACATATATATATATACATATATATATATATATATATATAAATAATAATAATAAGGCTTAGCGAACCCGAAGGTTCGATGCCGACACCACCAATCGCTTGTTACACACCTCCCTCCACCGTTCGCCGTCCAAATCCAGTCCCTTCAGATCAGCTTTAATGCAATCTTCCCACCTTCGCTTCGGTCTACCCCTCCGACGCTTACCATTCGGCACAGCAAATATTAACCTTTTAGGAATTCTCTCGTTACTAAGCCCAACAACTTTACAAGCCCATTTGATTCGCCGCGATGAAATTACCTCAATTATATTACCCGGATATAGCTCACGCAATTCGGCGTTGTGTAACCGTCTGAACTCTCCGGTTAACTCATCCTTCTTCGGTCCGAATATTCTACGCAATACTTTATTTTCAAAAACCTTAAGACGCTGCTCATCCCTTAATGTAAGCGGCCAAGTTTCGCATCCATAAAGAACTGTAGGCAAGATAATTGTTTTATAGATTCTAATTTTTAAGTTTCGGGACAAGAGGCGCGAACTGAGTAGTTTTGTCACAGAAAAATAACAAGCATTCCCCGCCTTCAGTCTAACTTTAATCTCTTCTTCAATTTCGTTTTTTCTAGTTATCGTAGAACCTAGATACCTAAATTTATCTACCTGTTCAAACATATTACCATCTATATCGATATCACCAGTAGTATCGCCATTTTTGCAGCTAACCATATATTTTGTTTTATCCACGTTTATTTCGAGTCCTAGTTCTTTACCGGCTTTCATTAACGTTGTCGTATTTAGTTTTATAGTTTCAACGTCTTCGCTTAACAGTACCAGATCATCAGCATAGCCCAGCACGGATGTTGTCCCGCCCAGATCCAACCCTTTCTCGGTACGCATTACCTCCCTAATGGCATGTTCTAATGCCAAATTGAACAGGACAGGCGAAAGAGAATCCCCCTGTTTTAAGCCCGAACGAACCTCAAATTTTTCGGACAAATTATTACCGATTCTGACTTTATTGAGTGTCTCCGTCAAGCACATCCTGACTAGATTTACTAGTTTTTTTGGAATTCCCTGCTCGATTAGAATATTATACAGTTTCTGGCGGTCAATAGAATCGTAAGCCTTTTTAAAATCTATATACAGCTGGTGAACAATACCGTTATACTCCAATTTTTTCTCTAATATTTGCCGTAAAGAAAATATTTGATCAATAGTCGAACGATTCCGTCTAAATCCGCATTGGTAGTCTCCGATAATTTCCTCGGCGTATTCCGTGATTCGACTGGTTAAGATTACAGTGAATATTTTATAACATACCGGAAGGAGTGAAATTCCTCGATAGTTATTACAATCCGTCCTCGGACCCTTTTTGTGAATCGGAATAAGAATAGATTCTTTCCATTCTTCAGGTAATTTCTCGTTCACCCAGATCTTTTCAACCAACCGATGTATTTTAGAAACTCCAGCTTCCCCGCATGCCTTAATTAGTTCAGTAGGAATATTATCGATTCCCGCTGCTTTATATGATTTTAATTTACCGATAGCTACTTCAACTTCCTCGTTACTTGGTCCTTCTATCAACGGTTCAGCACTCTGGTACTCAGAAGGAGGACACAGATCATAATTTCCCGTATTTAAAATATTGTCAAAGTGGTCCTTAAACTTATTCAATATGTCAACCGGATCGGTCAGAATATTGTTATTATCATCCCTAATTCCAGACGTTACGGGCCCTACATATTTACGTGATCTGTTTATACCTTTGTACATGTCTCTTACGTTATTTTGGATTCTATTAGTTTCTATTTCAATTATTTTATTTTTAAGATACTCCCTTTTTTTATTTTTGAGCAATTTTGTCGTTTCGTTCTTTGAGATTCGGAAGTATTCCAGATTGTCTTCGCTAGGATTATTTAGAGCTTTTAATTTAGCGGCTTTCCTTTTTTCGCACATGTTTAAGCAATCTTCATCAAACCACGGTTTGTTATTCTTATTTTCCTTTTTTCCTAGACACGAGTTACCGACCGCTTTAATATTATCCCTGATCTCTACCCATAACTTGTCAATATCCTCGTGGTCCTCGTCAGGAAGCTCTAAAGCTTCAAACCTATTCTTAACATCTAGCTCGAATTGGTTTCTAATTGATGGATTTTTTAATTTTTCCAAATTAAAATTCTCAAAATCGAAACGGTTTTCTTTTCTCTTTTTTATATTAAGTTTTTGTCGAAGTTTCGCGATTACTAATTCATGATCCGACCCACATTCTGCTCCGCGATAAGACCGTACATTGATTATACTGCTTTGCCAGCTGTGTTGTATCAAGACATGATCGATTTGATTTCGTGTTTGCGAATCCGGCGATGTCCAAGTATATTTATGAATATCCTTACGTTTAAACGTCGTACTTTTAATTACCAGGTTTTTCGAGATGGCAAAGTTTATCAGACGGATCCCATTATCATTACTATATTCGTGCAAACTTTCTTTACCAATCGTCTGAATATAAACTTCTTCCCTTCCTACCTTTGCGTTCGCGTCACCTACAATTATTTTCATGTAGTTTCGCGGTAGTTTATCATAAATCCATTCGAGTTTATCGTAAAATTCACTTTTGACTTCATCGTCACTGTCTTCGGTCGGACAATGTATGTTTATTAATGCGATTTTAAACCAACGTCCCTGAAATGTAGCTACCGAAATTCTATCACTAAAGAATTGTACGTCCCTCAAAGCGGATAGTAATCTACTCCTAATTAGAAACCCGGTACCTAAACAATGATTCCCGCTTCCTCCGTACCAAATAGTGTACTTTCCTTCCCTCATCGAGCCCTCCCCTGGCCAGCGAACCTCTTGTAGAGCCACGACATCCAAATTGTACCCATTTACCTCATTCGTGACCGATTTTAGCCCCCCTGCTGTGTTTAAACTCCTTACGTTCCACGTACCAATATTTAAATCCCTATATTTCAACTTGCGGCATGAATCCCCTAAAGCAGTCCCCACCCGGAGACCCGAACGGGGGACTAGTTTACCTCCGGATAATGAGCGTTTTACCTTAGGGAGATCCATGACTTTTTGTGTTTTATAGGTTATACCTTATATATATATATATATAGGTTATAGGTTATACTATATATATATATATATATATATATATATATTTTTTTTTTTTTTTAAATGATGAAATGTTTAATTCTACATCATCCACAATTCGTGAGTTTTCATTCCTGTACCATACATTTCATAGATGTAGGGATATTCTATATTCTCATATCCCTCACAGTAGGTACAAAGAATTTCAATATAATGAAGATTATTACTGTTTCTTAATAATGTCTTTGTATAGAACGTTTTATTTTATTTAAATATATATATATATATATATATATATATATATATATATATATATATATATATAAACAATTTTTGTTTACATAAAAACCTATTTAAAACCATTTTTCTTGTATATATGACTTTGCTTTTTAGAAGGGTGGTGCAGTGGTTGTGACGGTAGATCAAAAATTTGGTTGGGCACCTGCTAATCTTTCACCTTTCCCGCTCTACCTGTTGACCAAGAAGGTACGTTCCAGTTTTTAGTCATTAATACAGATTTTGTATTCAGTTTAATGTACTGAATTCTTCTAAAGATCCAAAAATAAATTGAAAAAATAGTGTTAATATAATTTATTTATATAACTTTTTTTTTTTAATTTGGATTTATTTATCATAATATTAAGTGTTTTGTAACTTCATTGTTATGTAATAATATTTGTTGTTAATTACTTACCTAACATTTTAAAAAATTTAAGAATTATTTCATCTAAAAGAATATATGAAAATTCTTAGTAGTATTTTCTCATTTATACCTTAAATTAAAGTAAGTATCTAAAAAGGTTCTTTTCTTTTTTTTTTTTATATTTTCCAATATTTTAGGTTTTTCAAAATTAAATTTATGCTGTAATTTAAAATTAAGATATGACAGTGCCATTTATTTGTTTTATATTTGTAGTCGAGAAAAACATAGTAAATCACTTTAAGAAATTTTATAACCTATAATATTCAGGTTATTTTAAATTATATATTGCATCCAACAAATTCCAAACAATATGAAACCTCCTTGGTGTCACTATGATATAAATATAAATATATCACTCTCTAAGGCTTCTAGGCTGGATGTGTCCTCTAGGAATTCAGAAAATGTTCTTGCTGCTTTTAGAAGAATTTAAAGAATACAACATAGTGTATACAGATGCATCAAAAGGTGAGTATTCCATGGTAGGATGCACGGTGGTCAAAAGAAACAAAACTTTTCTTTACAAATTGCATGAAGCCTACTCAATCTTTACGGGAGATGCAATTGCCTTAAAGGAAGCCCTTCAACATATCCAACCAGAAAACCACCAAAAAACTATTATTATATCTGATTCAATGAGCGTACTTCGGGCTATTAAAAATCAAACATCGAAACATGTGACGATAATTAAAATTTTAGAACTTATTTGGATCAGTAAAAGGGCAGGGAATGTAACAGTTTTCATTTGGGCTCCATCTCATTATCGTATACAGGGCAATGAAAAGGCAGATATCGCCTCCTGAACAGCCCGAACTAATGACAATAATGAGGTAAACTTCATTAATTATGTTCCTCGAGAGGATTAGGTGAGGCAAGAAGAAAGCTCTCCAAACTAGTCCAAATAAAAGCAAGCAGTGCTAAATGGTGCTGGAGTAACAGGAAATCAAGAAAAGAGGAAATAATCCTGAGCCACCTCCGAATTGGTCACTGCCAATTTTCACACGGCTACCTTCTCCACGGTTGAGAACCACTTAAATGCGTCAGACCGTGAACCACATACTCGTGAACTGTAAATACTATACTGCAACAAGGAAGAACCTTAACATGCATGTCGAGGAAATGTTATAGGATACGGAGAGAAAAATGTAAATCTTGAGTGATTTCTTGAAAAAAAAAAAATGGGATTCTACAATATACTATAGAAAATCTGAATGAAAAAAGAATTTCCAATGACCCTATTGGGTAGAGGCAAATTCAGTAAATAAATTAGATGAATTATTAAATGTTAATATGCAAATAAATGAATTATAAATGTTTTGAATATAATGTATTGATCCATAAGTTCACTCGGTTTTTGTTAGTAGTGCGAATTGTTTTCATATATTTCCAGTTTTTTTTGCCTTATCTGACAATAATGATACTTATCGGAAAGGTCAACGTCTGTAATTCTAAACTGTTGTGTTTGGTTTCATTGGCATTAGTTTTGTTTATGCTACACTGTAGTGAATATGTCAAAAGTGCATTTTTTATTTCAAAAATGGCAAACAAGCTTCGGAGACCCATCGAAAGATATGTAAGACATACGTGGACGATGCCTGAACAGAACGTACTGCTCAAAAATGATTTTCCAAGTTTTATCCTGGAGATATTAATCTTGAAGATGCACCCCGCTGCGGTCGGCTCACCAAGGTTGTTTCGAGTGATATCAAGGTTCTAATTGAAGAAGATCAATCGCTACAGATACCAGAAATTGTGGAGACACTAAAAATAGGTTTTGGAACCGATCAAAGGCATTTAAAACAGTTTAGTAGGTTATAGCACGAAAGGGACCAATTTCTCAAACACAAATAGTGGCGGGTGACGAAGAGTGGATCGTCTGCGACAATGTAGTGCACAGGAGATGAACAACTGCTGACGAGTCGTCTAATCCCACCCTGAAGTGCGGAAAAGATTTTTCTCTCCATATGGTGGGATTATCGCGGTGTGTTGTTTTACCAGCTGCTTCCACAAGAAAAATGATTGATTCGAAGATCTACTGCATGCAGCTAATGAAATCGGACCAACCATTGCAACAGAAACGTCCAGAACTAGTCATTCGTAAAGGTGTTTTATTCTACCATGACAACGCCGACCACACTCCGCAATAATCACACAGTAAAAGTTAGTGCAACTTGGCTGGAATCTTTTATTACACCCACCGTATTCACTAGAGGTTGCACCATCCATCGATCACTTATTCTGGCCCCTCCAAAAATCTGTCTACGGGAAATCGTTCGTTGATGAGAGAGATGTTTAAAAATGTATCTCAATCAGTTTTTCGCTTCTAAGGCCCTGATGTTTTATGAGAGCGGAATAATGAAATTGTTTCAAAGATGTCATAAAAAAAAAATAGCAAATACCTTAAGAATAAAATTTATTCTTTGTATGAAAAAAACATTTTATTTCTCCCTTCAAAAACTGAACAAACTTATGGATCCACCCAATATTAACTGATAAGATTTTTCTTCTTTTTTAATAGGAAGTTTTGATATTGGTCCTGAAATGTTAATTAATAAATTATAATTGCATTACAAGACCTTATTTTTGCCACCATCAAAGAAAAAATTGATGATCATACCGTTTACTTGATATGATTGCCAATCATAGCAGTTAATTCGCTCACATGTTCCCAAATTCCCAATCCAATAGACACTCTGTGTCTCTGTTAATCACCAATAATATCTACAATGATGATCGATATTTAATTTTATTATTCTTTTCCAAAATTTGTATTTACCCATTTCGCTAAAATTTATAAATCAAAATAGGAGCTTATACTGTTAATCATGCAAATAATATTTTGAATTACTGTTTCTATTGAATATGACTCAAACATTTTTTTCTTATTAGGGTTTTGAGCACTTGGACCCTTTCATCCCCGTGGAAGTGAAAGAACTGACGTCAGAAGAGTTCCACAGCATGTTGGATTATTACGAGGACCGATTGTGGTTCCAAAAAGGCAAGGGTCGAGATGAGCTTGCCTTTTTAAGTAATCGTAACGCTGGAGCACTCATGAAGCTTTGTTCTTCGTTATAGTTTCTTATGTATTCCTAGTAATGTATATATCAACCTTTTAATACCATCGAAGCGTTAAGTTATATGGATTTTTCTTGTTTGTTACTGAAATGGAACTGGAAAATAAACAGTTTTTCAGCAAACTAATATTGCTAAGTTTTTACTTACCTTTCATAATTTCTTATTTTAAGTGATATATATTTATAAATATGATTTAATGTTCCATGTTTTTTCTTGAGAATTATAATCTGCTGCATAAGTGAACTTAACACATAACTGAATTGTAAATAACAAGTTAATGGTTAATTGTTGAGACCTTTTTTGGCGGGAATAGGCAAATAGCCTTTCGTTTTTTATATATATCAGGGAACTAGGTAATTTACACTCCTGAATATTAAAACAAAACCCCGGCACTGGATATAGACTTTTGAGGGTGTTTAACTGTTGTTGGGAATTCGGGAATCTACCTTTTTGTGACACTAAGTGAGAAGAAACAATAATACATATATGAAATGTGGGACTTAGTAAATACACTTTAAATGAATTGACTCACCTGTTTTGTTATTTTTCAATCGTGAGGCATATAGGACAACTAAATAAAATTACTTTTCACTCCTGTATAATAAAACAATTTATTTTTACAACTGTAATAAATTAATGTATAAAAGTCTTATAACTGTAGGCTTGATTTCTTAGTCTTCAATGTAGTATCTCTCTCTTCTGACAATCTCCTTTCTTCCTGTCCAGGCCTAGCGTCCTCTCCCTCTCCCTGACGTCTTTCTCCAGCTGCTGTTACCTGACCGGACCTTTTTCCTTCTTCATCGATTGTTTATCGGTATGAGACTTTTCAATGAATTTGTCCACTGCACAATTGAGTACAATTCATCGTGCAACCTCACATTCCTATATATTATATATTCCTTCTAATTGCCTCACATAAAGGAGTAAATACAGGAGGCTGTCTACTACAGAAGTGGCGAAAAAAAAAAAAATAAATTTTAAATAAGCAATAAATAGATGGAGACATTTTATGAAGGATAAAAATTAATATAATTAAATGAAATTTCTAGAGTTTAATTCCTTTCAATAAGCCGAGTTGAAAATTCATTCTTGTCATAGTTTGAAATTATACTCCTTCAGATATGACTGTGCAAGTGTTGTTTCACTTTGACTATTAGGTAAAGATCTCATAATGACCCTATAAATGTGATTCCGAGATTGGTCCAGTACCAATTTGTTCGCTGTATAACCTCTCTTTAATTAGATAGGAATCAACGCAAAGTCCCTCTCCCTCTCCACAATAAAACTTCCAAATTATTTATGCCTTCCTTAATAACTAAAACCAGAGCCTTTATTATATTTCTGCTTTAGATTTATTCTCTCTCTCTCTCTCTCTCTCTCTCTAACAGGATAAACAAATCCTGAGTCCTTATCAGTTGAGGTCACCTCCGTCTACTTCTGGCCATTCTTGATTCCATTTATAGTGTGATTATAAGATCTTGTGTCACCTATCATAATGTGATTATACATTATTGATATAAATGCATATACATCAAAGGCAAAATGTTACACCTTGATATTGATAAAAATTATTGAATAAATACATTTTTTTAAATTTTATACTATATTTGCAACTGTGTTTTTGGACCAAATGTGCTGTCGTTCATTTTGTCTACTATTTTTTAAAAATTTATAAATAACTTAAGGGGTTTCAATAAATGACAAATAAATAAATAAAGATTTAATAAAACAAATAAAATAACATACTCGAATGAAATAAATAATCATTTCTTTAATTATCTATCATTTTGCGTTCAACTGGAGAAGTATTGCGTAATATCAGGTTCATCTTCTTAACTTTAAAATTATTTGCCTTAAATGGGTTTTTGATTAGACCAAACATTTGTTCAAATAAACCAACACAGTTTCCTGATGAACCGTGCAGAGTCCCATACACCATCACTATAACCAAACCATGTGGTTCGACAATGGTCTTTATCCCATCAGGACTTAGATTAGGTACAAAAATTAATTTATATTGCGACTGTAAATCCTTCAGCAGTGACAATGTATCTTCAGCCGAGTTCGCTTCTGAATTGTGTGATTCATCCTCAGATAATGGAATAATAATTGTGGTATGACAGTCATCCCAAAAATCATCCTCGGTAAGTTTCTCATCTTCTCCTTCATTAAAAACAACGTTTAATCGATTGTAGAACCATTCGGTAAATTGGCACCCAAGAATTTTCGCTTCAGCTGGTCCCAAAGGAACAACCTGTAAAAATAAAATATAAAATAAATTATGAAAGAATATTTAGTATTAACTCCAAATCGTTACTTCAATATAATGGATGGTTTCAAGATCACATTAAGCACACTTCAGATGGATTCTCAAAACCACCTAAGGGTGTCTGTAAGTAGATAGAGAAGACCGATCCCCCACACTTTGTAATTTATAATAAATTACCCAGTTTAAGAGGATAAATTTATAATTATTTTTAAATTTGTATATTATATTTACATCACGTATGGAATGTTCTGGTCCTAATCACATTCACGAGTTATTTAAAAATAACAGCATGAATTGAATTGTAGTATTGTCAGTTTTCAGTGGGAACTTCCACTACTTCCTATGAAATAAATATTGAATTGAAGATAATTTTTATGTTTTAAGCCTACAGTTATCTCAATGCTCATTAAAATTATAAAAAACAGAAAAAAATGTATAACAATACTTATGAAGCTAGGATTTAAATTAGATGAAAGGTGATTAAATTGAAGAAAATCAAAATCAAGTTTGAACGTTAAATTTTCTCTGAATCTCATATCATACGATTGAAATAACATGAATCAATATATAGGTGATAAATATTCAGGACGCAGTCATTATAAAGTTTTTATTGGTGCCGACGTTTTAACCCAAACATGTGGATCATCATTAGGGCTGAAAAATTGTTTAATATATTCAGAGATATAATATCATATGACAGATAATGGTTAATAAACATGACATTTTCATTGAAACGTCGGCACCAATAAAAACTTTATAATGACAGCGTCCTGCATATTTACCACCCATGATATGTATAACAGTCGATAAACTTCCTTTAATAATGAATCAATATAATTTCATATGTCAAGAAATGTCTACCATAGAATGTGGACAAGATTGCCATACAGCCATCACCTTGGGGTAGCGATTAGGAACCAGTAACTAAAAACTTACAATTGTAGAAAAAACAATAGCTATACCTCTTCTAACTCAGCTTTCTGTTGGTCGCAATACTTAATGGCTAAATCAATTAATGAATTCTTATCTATAGTACTCTCGAAAATAATGTCTTTGCTATGTAAGAATTTAAAAATCACATTTCTCGTTATTTTTTTTCTCGTCAATAAAGACTTCAAAGAAGGTTCATGAAGCAATGCTTTAATGGCATCTAAAACAAAATAGATAAAGATATATTATATTTTAAATGACGATAAAATAATACTATACACTATTAAATATTATATTAAACACCTACCTTCCTTTGTTTTTATTTCAACACAATTATTAGTCACAGTTGCACCTAAAGATAACAAGTCATTAAGTTGAAGGAACTCAGCTATTTCACGAACACATTTCTGCTCCTTATCGGATAACATTTTCTAACCCATATTAGTTAAATTTAAAACTTAAGTCAAAATTACTACAACACATATCTGTAAATGACAGATTGTCAAGTTCAACTTCTCAACATGTCCCTCCAGTGGAGCAAGTATAAATAAACATTTTAATTTCCAAAGAGGTAAAACCTGTCGATGATACAAGGTGACGTAATTTCCATTCTTATCTATTACTAAACTGGTGGATTAACTTTTCTGGACAACTCGATGAAGCTGATTTGTGTCGTTTTTCGATTGATTAATATTTGCAATATCGGGTGTTATTTATTAATTAAAGGGCCAAGCAGATAATGGTTCATGTTTATGAAATTTTAACTACAAAACAAAAAGTCTTTATTTGGTCTTTTCTACAACACGAGTAATTTTCGGTCTAAACTTAGCTGAGTTATGTGGATTTCTTTAAATTTAGTTACCTGTGTTTTGCTTTAAAAGGGACAGTTGCCTGATTACATATGTAAATACGAAACCTCATTTTATGGAGTGCTGATGTTTCAATTTTCGGTTTTGGGCTTACATATGGGCGTAATATATCAGGGTACTAAGACAAATTTTGGGATTCTATGGTATTTGCCTAAGAATCCTGATGCAATTCGTCCTGATGAAGGCCTAAAACCAAGGCCGAAAAGTATGTACATTGTAAACCTCTTGTTTGTACATAATTTGCTTTATAGTCATACATCAAACTAACTTCTATTGCTGTTTGATCCATGGTCAACAATATTTCCATTATTTTTTATTTAGAAAATAAAATAATTTCCTATACTTCAGAATTTTCGTATTTAAGAATTACGATACTATTTTTATGGCCTTAAAGAGCGGGCTAGCTCAGTGATTGCATTGTGCTCCTACTTTCCGAAACCGGGTTCGAGTTCCGCTATGGCTGGATTACCTTGGTTATGGCACATAATTATTTACTTTGTTACACCAGCCATGAAGTGAAAAACCAAGTGGTTGAGTGTGATCGCTGTCAAAGTACTGAATCCAAAATCCGTTTAGTGGTTGCAATGGCAATTAATAACATTGATATGACCTTCGTGATTGGGACCTTGCTGAATTTATTTTTGTATAATACGAAATAGAAATCCTACACGATAGTAGGAGTAGGGCCATTGTATCCATTCATGTAGGATACCATATACAATGAGACCCAAATTAGAAGGTAAACATTTATTCCTTGATTCCCTCAAGGATTCAAATCGACGTTATTTCTGGCAAAATACTGATTCGCTGCCTTAACGCGCTAGGTCACCAAGGTGTTATAAAAATTAAATTTATCATACCTATTGTTACCTGGTTTTATTCTTAGGCCTGAACTTTGGACCGAAACGTCGGCAAAAATAAAAATAAATATACTTATTCATTTTTACAATTTTTTTTACTGCTCACCTCAACCAATCTTCTATTCAATTATTTCCTGTTTAATGTTGTTAGAAGGAACAGTTATAGCAATAACGAAAGATAGATCACATTCGAGTTCATTGTCTTTGATAAATTATATAGTATCAGAGTGATTTAAAAGGTAAGCAATTTTATCTCAGAATTAACCAAGTTCCTTAAACATTTGAAATTATAAGTAATAATAACAAGATCAATTTTATAAGGAAATGCATTTTTTGTTTATTTATAGAAAACATAATCAACTCATCTTAGCTGTTTATAACATGTTTCAATTTTTTAAGTTCATTATTTTTGATTGGGCACCTGATTTTAGTATCAAAAATAAGAAGAAATTCTGCAAAAAATGAAATCCATATTGAGGATAAGGGATGAATATTGTTGACGTCTAAAAATTGATTGCAGCTGTCAGAGAAAAATTATATTGGAGACTAAGATTTAAGAAAATGGATATGGAAGAGTTTATTTATTTTTTAGAGATATTTTTCGGAAAAAAAGTACGAGTGGAGAGATATGAAATTGGTTAGTTACATTGTAGTCTTGCGATGTTTTGTACGCTTCAAGTACTCTTATCTTTCAAAGCTTAAGTAATCTTTGTATGTATTCTAAGTAAAACAGGCATATAATTTTAAGTTTAATACAGTTTTTATATATTTATATAATTTAAAAAGTTTCTTTTAATTGAGACGAAATGCGGTGAAGATTCGACAGAGCACTCTGGTGACGGACCCGGGATTGACAGTTCTATTAACTCGCACTTACCCCAGACCTTCAGGCAGTCTTAACTACACCCTCTCCACCACCTCCCCATAGCGCAGTTGAAAAATGTGATCAGTTTCTGTCAATAATTAATTAATATTTAATTTTGTGTCGATTAACTTTCGCGGTTTAAATTGAAGTTTTAGAATTGGTTGACAAATTACCCAGCTGTGAAAATGTCTAGAAATGGCCTAATTCAGTGATATTTAAAATTTCCAAGTTGCAAGTGGTGTTATACCGTTCTTCTCTATTTAATAAATCAATATGTGTTAAAACGTTAGTTTAGATTAAAATGCAAGCCATTACCTGGACTGGAAGGATTTTATCTCGTGCTATATGGAATGGCATTAATAATTATTCCACGAATTGCACCGAACCTAGCCCTCCACTGAAGAAATTTGAACCCCACATTCTTTCTGTTGTTTCGGGCTTTCCAAAAGAAATATCGCAAAATAAATTGAAGAAAGGACAGTTTGGAGATGATGCATGGTTTACAGCCAAGTTTAAAACTGCTGATGTTTTAGGTATGTATAAATAGAAGTTTGCATGTGCATTCTTTGTTTTACTATGATCAATTTAAATTACATTTTTGAAATTAAAATCATGCCAATTTTTGTTTGATATGTATTGTCAGTAAATTATTGATAGTTGAGCAATTGTCAAAAGTTCATACTGATAATATAGTGAGGTTATAGTTGTGTTTCTAACATAACATTTAAGTAAATAAATAATAACTACCTTATTAATGCAATTCATTATAATCAATCCAACATGTCAAAGCCTTATCATTTGCCATTAAAGTTCTGTCATCTCTAGAATGGTACACAGTTCTTTAATTTTCGTTTTATCTTCTTCTGAATACTAAATGTCTCTTAAACTTCTATGTAGACTGATATTTTTCAATGTGATTTCTTCTATAATTATGATCCTATTACTTTTACGGGTCTGCTATTCTTAATGTCAGGCAGCATTCTGATTTGATTCGCATTACTTTTATTTATTTGTCATTGAAACTGTTTTATCGAAGTTGTCATTCATCTTATTAAAAACTTTTAAAAGTCATTAATTTACTATTGATAGTAAGAAGAAATAAAATCAAAAAGTTACATGAAATAAATACGTGTATTGTTTATATTTACATAAAGTGATTAATCATATTGTTGGTTTATTCTATTTGTTTTATTTCATGAAATGATTTCATTGAATTTTAATTTAATGATTCATGTCAATCGTTTCTTACATTTTCCTGTTTAGATATTATATTTGGTTTATGGAGTTATATTTTCTAATAATTTAAAATGTTTTTTATCTTTGTTTCTCTTAATATAATTTAAAATGTTTTTTATCTGTCATGGAAATAAATACACATTATTTTTTTTTTTTTATCAATGTATTGTAATTGATAACAGCAAATATATTTTCAATTTCTGCTCATCCAAAATGAGCTCTAAAAATGACTAAAATAATTCTATTAAAAAAATGTTGACATTATGTAAAAGAGTCAAAAGAAAATTAAATATGATGTTGACAGACCAACCTTTGACCATAGTAGACCTTGTACTCCACCCCTCTCTCAGTTATTGTCTCTTTATTATCAACTTCCAGTTATATCTTCCACAACTCATAATTATTATAATATAAATGAATTATAATTACAATAATTATTCCATATCATAATTTTGTTAGATCGAAGTTCTCTTTTTTTAAAATTTATTTCATATGTTAATCTTTTATTTGTATAAATTAAATTTTTATACCACTTTTGTATTACAGAAAGAATATTTTATTTACATTACATTATTTAAAAATTACTGTCTCGACATATTTAAGTTTTAAATTAAAATACATATTTTATATTACTTTTTAAGAAAAGCTTTATGCAGTATTCTTCTCAGTACCCTAAAAATCCTATTAAAAACTTCTCTTACAATATTATTTATATTTTGTTTTCCTATAAAAACAACATCAACCAGCGATATCTACAATAAATTATACATAAAATATATCTCTAATTATTTAAGAAAAGTTTTCCGAAGTTTGAGGAGATTTTACTAGGCACTGATTGGTCCAGTACAGTATTCAAAACTTCAATATTAACCTTTGTAGATTATGTATGGTCTATCTTCTGATATTTTTATGAACATGAATATATATTGGAGAGTATCCCTGAACTCTCTGGAACTATTACTAAAATTTATTCCTTGGGTCAAAGCTAGTATATATTTTATCATTTATTTTTTCTAGAAATATATTAAGTTAACTACTAAAAATGGTAGAAACATTCGAATTTGGTGGAAAGTTGTTTTTATGTTGAAGATAGTTTATAAAGTATATAATTTTAGAATCCTATTTAATATATGCCTGTTTATGTACGGTGATGAACGAAATAAAAATGGCCGACTTCCAACTTTTTTTTTTCCCCTTTATTTTTTAATTCAAAACTGTCAATGTCCACTGACAACCAGTGAATGAGATAACTGTACAAATAGACTAGGAGAAAGGGCATGATAGGCATAAGGAAGAGAAAAAACCCAGTGGTTTATCTTTGGTCATGTTTGCGGTTAATTAAGGAGATCTCTCATCCAACTCCTTTTCAGCCTTCTGCAGATGTTATCGGCCATGTTTTTATTGGCCATGTCTTGGATGAATCTATTGGGATGACCATAGTGCTTGTTGTGAAACCTTTTGTAATAAGTTTGTATGTGTTCTGTGGCGGTTTGCATGCGTAAGTGTTTGTGGAGAGTTATGTTACTAACATACCAAGGTGCTTGAGTAATTGTTCTGAAGGTTTTGGTCTGAAATATTTGTAATTTCTGAATGTGAGTTTTTTTGGCAATTCCGTATATTTGTGATGCGTATGTCCAAAGTGGTTTTAGTAAGTAAGTGTAAGTGTTAAGTTTTTGTCTTAGATCTAGTTTTGAGATACATCCCAGTAGGGAATATAATAGTCTAAATCGTTGATTTAGTGTCTTTCGCTTTGCGGTGATGTGTGGGCCCCATGTCATCCTTCTGTCAAATGTTAGGCCTAGGTAATGTACTTTGTCAGATTGGGGAATATGTTCATTGTCAAGATAGACAGGAGGGCAGTTTTCGCGTCTGAGTGAAAATGTTATGTGTTCGGATTTGTTGTGATTTATTTTTATTTTTCAAAGTTGACTACCAACTAAAACTGAATATGATGCAGTCTTTCAAATAGAAATTTTGACTGTTTCTATGCACAAAATTCTTATTTCAAGCTATGCCTTAAAAAATATTTTTGCTTTGTTTTATTGTAATATTTGTGAGATTATTTGGAAGTCTATGGATCTGTAGACCGTCCGTTAGGAAACATCATCATTTTATTCCTTTTATTTTTCTTTCTAAAAATTTGGTTCAATTTCCTTTTTTCCTGGGTGGATATTTCTTGAGAAGCTGTTTCTGATCTTATATTTTTAAGACTATAAGCATTTAATATGTTTGTACTGGGGCAAAAGTGTAAATCATCTTCGTAATAAATAATTAATTAATAATGAGTTAATTGAATTCATGCTTTTAAATATTTGGATATGATTGGGACTGACTTATTAAGTGAAAGTTTATTAAGTCGAGCATTGTTATTTGTCAAAAACAATTATATAAAATAATACAAGCTGAGTGCGAAAGCGTGATTTCACAAATAGGAAATTCTTCAGATAACTTAGTGATTTAATTATATAAAGTGTTACTTAATAACTTTTCACAATAAATTGAAGACAAGTAAATAATAAAAATTACAAAAAAAATTAGATATGAATGAAAGATTATAATTCATCTATCAAGAAAAGGACAACCAAAGCGAATGTGAGAAGTTTAAGATTCTTGCAGGATCCAATTATTTTAATGGCCAAATTGAGTATTAAAGTTTTGTTTTTGTAAATTTATATTTATTATAAAATTAAATTAGTTTTTGTGTCTTTTACCTCAACACAGATTTTAAATCATAGAAAAAAACAGTTTACTTGATAATAGGATATAGAATAATATTTGTGCAACAATGGTTCACCTCGAAAACATTAAACTACAACGGAAAAGTAAAATTTATAAAGAAATTGGACATATGATGGTTATGCTTTTATCTATTCATATCTAAGATAAATTAAAATACATAGTTATCATAAATTATAGTAAGAAAATTTTGACTATTTAATTGACTGGCAATACAAATCTGAGAGATACAAAATTATTAAAAATAATTTACAATGATATAGAGATGGTTGACCGTTGATATAATATGAGGAGTTAGTCGAGGGTGCGGTCAAATAAATAAAAAAATTAAAATATATAAATTATTTTAATTTTTGCCAACGTTTCGACCCACTTTGCAGGTCGTCTTCAGGGCGTAGGATGTGGCACTGCGGGAGGCAGTTGAAACACTGGAAGTGTTAAGTGGAGTGAAGTGGAAGTGGAGGCAGTGTTTCAACTGCCTCCCGCAGTGCCACATCCTACGCCCTGAAGACGACCTGCAAAGTGGGTCGAAACGTCGGCAAAAATTAAAATAATTTATATATTTTAATTTTTTTATTTATTTGACCGCACCCTCGACTAACTCCTCAAAAAATAATTTACTGTGAGGGAGTAGATGGATAAACACACAATATAATTTTAAAAACTTAGTTGTCCAATCATTCGTGATCTCGGTCAAATCACCTCCTTGCACAACCGTTGACCAAGAAACAGTACTAACCTGAGACCCTTCATGCGTTGTGGTGGTACAGATTAGTTGTCCATCATATATTGGTTATGCTTCTATCGTTGAATAGTTCTAGCTTTAAGATATTTTTCTTTTATTTTGTATTACTATTATATTAAAAATATAAGCATTAACCCAATTACTCTTTTAGGAGTTGCTGACGGAGTCGGTGGATGGCGAAATTATGGCATAGATCCTGGAGAGTTTTCGTCATTCCTGATGCGAACTTGTGAACGCCTTGTTACCAGTGGCCGATTCCGTTCCGCTGAGCCTGCAAACCTTTTAGCCCATAGCTATTATGAGCTGCTCGAAAACAAACAACCTGTTTTAGGTTATATTTGTCTATATTTTTAGATTTATTTATTTTAATTTTTATCATTATATTAAAATATTTAGTAAAGAAACTTTAATTATTATTATTAGTGCTTCACAAGTTCCCTCTTCATTGAACTTAATTAATCATGTTTCTATTCTTACTTATTTCCTTATAATAACGTAAATTTATTATTTATTGAATTTAAATATATTTTTTTATATTATGTTATTATAATTCTGTTATATTTTACAGGAAGCAGCACGGCTTGTGTGGTTGTTCTGAACCGTGATACCAGCACCGTCTACACAGCCAATATCGGAGACAGTGGATTCGTGATAGTGCGCCACGGCGAGGTGGTCCATAGATCTGAGGAACAGCAGCACTATTTCAATACACCTTACCAGTTATCGCTTCCTCCACCCGGGCACAGCAGGCTCGTGCTCAACGACAGGTATCTTGTTTTTCCTGTACTACCACAACCTATAAAGGGTCTTGGGTTCAGTACTTCGTAAGGAAGAAGTATGTTTCTTGGTCTACCATTATGCAAGAAGGTGATTTGACTGAGATCACCCTCAACTGCCTGGTTTTCCTCTTTAATACATTATTTATTTAAGGATATCCAATTTATACAGACTGGGTGTGCCAAGGGAGGGGATTCCAACACCAGGATCGATCCTCGTCCGACAAAACAGAATAAATAATTTATGTACCATCAGCCGGTTTCGAACCTAAGACCTTGAGCATTGGAAGTCGGTATCCTACCACTGAGCTTCTCCACTCTCCTAGATATCTTGATAAAAAGTATTATTATATTGTAATGGTAAACAATGATCAAATTCAACATTATATATTCCATATCTAATATCATCTTATTCATAATATCATATCATCCATAACTAATATAGTGGGAGAGGAGGACTGTAAATAGTTTGCGTCCAAGGTTACCATCTCTAACCTCTAGATATCTCGTTTGTCTGATGACAACGGTTTGAAACTGGTCTAAGCAGATTAAAATTCATTTCATGGCCCACTGAATGAATCTCGACCTTCCTACTCTGCCTAGAATAGATTTGGTTGTACCTTAAGAACAATCCCCCCTCTCACCGAATTCCAGGAATGATGAGATAGAGAGTAACAGTATTAATAGGAAAAAAAAAAAAAGCTGTCTCATTTTTTTCAAATGCCTTGCAACAAGCTACATTGTATGTTATATCAGTCTACTATTATTATTTAAAAATGTATTTTTTAGAGCTTAGTTTAATAATATTTATATATATTTTTTATTTAAGTTGAATTTATGATTTTAATAATTTAACAGTTAATAGTCTAGTCACAACTATTAATAATATTCTGTAAATACACTACAGTTATTATATTATAATTATGTAAAGTTTTAATTTTGTAACTATATAACTTGTATTGTATTTTGTGAACTATCCAATATATAAATATATTTATTTATTTATATTAATTCTACTAAAAACACTCTAATTTTTGTTTGTTGTTTTAGAAATTAGATTTAGAATAGAGAAATTAGAAATTTAGAAATCAAGAACATGACAATTTGCCCTAATTTTAAGGTCTTGTGACCAAAATCATCTTAAATAGTTTTTTTTCTTTTCCTCTTTTATGTTCAGAGTAGTAAATTATTTGAACATTTATAATTTTTAATGTAGTTGTTTTAAGGAAGTTTGGAAATAATATAAAAATAAAGAATTAACAAACAAAATATGTGAAGAAACATTTTCAGATTCTAAAATTTTAACTAAATACTTTTTAATATCTATCCTATTGAACTTATTCCTCAAGGCGTCAATCATTTTGAAAATTGCAATTTACTTTTTAGAAAAGATATTGAATGATTATTATATACACTACCATCTGGGGAAGCCTTTGCACAAAACGAGAAAGTGTTCTTGTTTTATTTTTTAGTTTGTTTTAAAATTAATATAGAAACCTTGATCGTATAGTTTTGGATAAAAATTATTTTTCTATCAATTAATTCTGCTATCTTTTACAGGCCTGAGTCTGCAAACACTACCAATTTCCGAGTACAGGATGGCGACGTAATCCTCTTAGCGACCGATGGGGTTTTCGATAACGTCCCTGACCAAATCCTACTCAACGAGCTGAAAAGCGTGGAAGGGGAACGAGACCCCCTGCGCCTCCAGTCTGTCGCCAACTCGATCGCCTTGATGGCAAGAAAGCTGGCGTTCGACCAGACATTCATGTCCCCCTTCGCTAAAGCAGCCCGTGCCAATGGCATTAACATCATTGGTAAGTTATTATTAATATTTGTTATAAAACATTTTTTTTTTGGTCAGTTCTTATTTCTTTAGAATAAATTGTATCTATATTTATTTTTCTATTGATTACACTTCCTATTAATTATATGTTTTTTAGGGTGTTCAATCAAAAAGTAGCAAAGTAAAAATAAACTAATTATATTTATTTATTTTTGGCGATGTTTTGGCTCGAAGTTCAGGCCTTCATCAGGGCCAGGGCTCTTGTCCTGAAAAAAGGCTCCGTAACACCTATATTTATATATTTGACATATTAACCATCATTTCAGAAGGTTAATGTTTTATATAAAAACATTTCAGCTTTTAGTGTGAACTTATACTAACACTTGAAGCACTCTAAATCGGAAACATTTTTTTGTTGCGTGTTCATTTTTTTATTAGAATGGTTTTTTGGGACCTTATAAAAAAAAATCATTCATAGTAAATAATAAAAAAACATGATAAAATATTTGTTTCAGAATTTTTTAACGGTCTTTTGTTGGTATACCAAATCTTAAATATTTATCCTGGTAATTGCTACTCTTCAGTTATTTTTAAGTCAGCATCAGTCATTTTGATTTTTTTTTATCGCGGTCTCCTAATTTTCAGTCTACATCCACAGCAGCCTATAGAATTTTAAAAACAGATTACATAATAAAAAAAACATTCATCCCTGACTGTTATTGCCTTTGAACATAAACTATTTTCTTTTATATTTACACAAAAATATTATTATGAAACTAAAATACAACACGCACCAGTGTGCTACCAATCATTGAGTTGGACCTGGGATAACGCAACAGTGCGCTCAGTGTAATGAATAGATTAGATTTTTTAGAAAGCCGTGACTTTCCTCACTCCTGTAAAAGTCAGTCATCTAATATTTCTCCAAACCGACCTGTCTTCAGCCGCCCCTCTCCTTCCGACTCCTAAGATGGTTTTCGACATCTTCCAGCCGACATAGTCTAGATCCTCCCTCTTTTTCTTATTCTACCCTGGTATCCCTCCATCATCATTTTAGGGAGCCTGCTATGTTCCATCTGTCCACGTACCCAACCATCTTATCGTTTTCTTCTTAATACAGCTTCTTCAGCTGCCGAAGATTCCCTTCTTTGGTTGGATCATAGATATTACGTAGAATTATTCTTTCTCACCTGTTCAATAGCCTCTCTTCGTAGAGAGCAAGTGTCCAGGATTGGCTTCCATTTATGACAGCTGGTTGCTGGTTTTGAGAACTCATGGTAAATCTCTATTTCCAAAGATTTTTGTTAGGAACCAATGGCACCAGTGACCAACTGTTATCCTTGCCTTTATTTCTTCGTTTATGTTATTATCCTCAGTGGTAATGGAGCCAAGATATCTAAATTGTGGTACTTTTTCGAAATGGTATCTAGTCCTACTTTTCTTGCAGCTTCTTCACAATACTCAAAGGCTACTAAGATTGCATTGGATGTTCTTCCTGTAAAGATTACATCATCCGCAAACCCTGCTAGGTGTTGAGTCATTCTGTGATATATACATCATCCTTATCTTGTGCAGATCGATCTCTTGACTACTCCTAATCCCAAATTGAACAGTACTGCGGAAAGAGAGTCTCCCTGCTTCACTCCTTTCTGAATTTCAAATTCTTTCGAAAACTCTCTTTTGATTTTAACACCTTCGTTATCCTGCAGGGTCATCTTAACAAGCCTGATAAGTTTCAAGGGGCATCCTAAACCTTTAATCTTTTAGACATGTAATTTCTCCCTATGCTGTCATAGGCTTGCTTGTAGTAAATAAAAAGGTGGTGTTGATCAACATTCCTTTCACACCATTTTTTGACCATAACTCTCCTGGAGAAGAAAAGGTCTATTATAGATCGTCCAGGGCAAAATCCACACTGGTACTCATCTAACACCTCTTCGGCTCTCTCTACAATCTGCTTCATCAACGATGTTGACAAAACCATGTAGACTGCACAATAATGAAATGTCTCTATAGTTTTGGCGGTCCAGTCTGTTCATTTTTTTATGTATTGGTAGAACAACAGCTACCTGCCATTCTTTTGGAATTTCTTCTTTCATCCAAATCTCCAATATCAGTTCATATATTTCCTAGTGTATTTAACACTTCTGTTGGTGTCTTCACTGTCCTCATATATTTTAAATTTTACCTTCTTCTGGTAACAGATTGATTTTTCTCTCTTTTCCTAAATCCCATTTACTCCACGATTTATTCTCTCTTTAATGTATCTCACTGCATTAAAACTACCTCTTTGTTTTGAAGTTAGTTTTGTACATTGGCTCATTGGCTTATGTGTTAGCCTTTGGTCAGGACTTCTCAATCAAGGTGGAAAAAGCCGATTTCCTCTGAATAATTTCTTACCAACTAGCTTGTCAAATATATAATTTATATTTCTTTAAACCATTTTATTCAATTAACATTATTCCATCCACTGCTTACTCTAGGTCATAAGTTATTTCAATAGCAAGCTTACTTAATGGGTCTCTCTTTTAAGTTGTTGAGTCTTTTTTTTTTTTTTTATTTACTCTTCCTCGCCTTACGCCAAACCGGTTTAGGTGAGGGTAGCCTAATAAATAATATATCTATCACCATGCCATTTAGACTTTAGTGCTTCAACTGAAGTCCACACCTTTAGGAGTTTTGTCCATTATGGATCGCCTTCTGTCGCCTCCTCTCTTCGTCTAGGGGCCCCAAGATTAAAGTGTTCCGGTCCCACAGTTGTCTTCCACCTGTACACAAACTCTTTGAAGTATGGGTAGTTTTATTTTTTCATGAGGATGGGGAAATCACCTTATGATATAATAACAATATAATAGTAGGTAATTACTACGTGTACGGCAGTTTGTGGATCATAGCACCTGGGACGTAGAGGGTACACAGTTTGGCCTGAAAGCCCCTATGCCCGGGAAGACTTGCGAAACCCAGTACTCTGGGAGCACCCTTTTTGCGGTTAATTGCGAGTTTACAGTTGGAAAGAACTTTCTCTAGGTCGCTCCTTTTAGGATTGTCAATCATCGTCGATTCCATTCTCCAATGGTGTACTCCTGGTTTATTTGTTTCCGGCTATTGGGTTCATCTGCAATCCTCACTCGGAGACACTCCAGAACCCCTGCTGAGCCTTAGATTTTATAGCCGAATACTGTAGCATCTTCAAGCAGAATAAGGTCGGGAGGCACCCCTCCTGCCAAGACCTGCACTGCCTCATGTGATACAGTCCTGTAGGCCTTAGTTACCCGCTGCAGAGCCGTTCTCTGCATCGTCATCAACCTGTTCTTCTGTTTTTGTGAGAGGTTACGATACCAGGCAGGGGATAAGTTATTGAGTCACAACTCCTTGCTTCAAATGGTATTTGAATTATTGAAAGTTTACTTCATCTGCAGAAATTTCATTCATATATGATTCATCGCCCATTGGATTATCAATGGCTAAAATTAAAATATCAGAAAAATTATCTCTTATTGAACAATGTAAATTAATTTTATAGATTATAGTTTAAAATTTTTATTAGTTATTATTATTTGATGTAATCTTTGTCTAGGAGGTAAGCCTGATGATATCACTGTGCTTCTGGCTACGGTTGCCATGTAAATCGCATGCCTCTGCCATCACTGGAGACACCATCGTCAATAACTGTTCTCCTTCCTAGTCCTCTCTTCTAACTTAGTTGCGTGCACATTTGTGTATGCTCATTTATATGTATGTATACGTTGAGCTTGTAGTATCGATTCCAGTGTAATAAATATTAACATTATATGTTGAGAATTATATATTGGCTGGTTTATAAACAAAGTTTTTTTTATTGCAGTACCAAGACATGTAATTATGAAGTTTTGGTGTTGATGTAACTTATAGTAATTAATATATTTGTAAAGAAAAGTAAACAATGGACAGCCATAAATTTTTTTAACCAAAGTTGAAAGAGGAACAGGATATTTAAATAAAATTAATGATATATATTATCATTATTGTGTATTAGTATTGTATTTAGATGTAATTAATATTATGAATGGTTGCGTCTACAAAACAACTAAAGATTTATATGTTTGTATATTGTATGACTACCATGGCTATATTGTGTAAATATATTTTATTGAGTTGATTGCTACTCAAAATAAATTCCGGATATTATTTGTTGTTTTTATGTTAAAACCTTGTCATTTATTTGTACTCAACTGCATCTTATTTATATATATTGAATGAAATATATAAATTGCGGTAAAATATAGATGTCGTGGTTAGTGACCTATATTTCTTTGTACCACCTAACCTAACTAACGATGGCAAGACATCAATCAAGAGATAAATAAATGTATACTCTTTTATATACAAGGTATCAATCTATTTACTGATAAGAAATTTAGCTATTTTAAAAAATTCAAAGATTTTTGTTTAACTTGGCTAAATGATTTATTGTACCCCTCTCCACCCTTCCCCCCCCAAAAAAAAATTAAAAAGAAGGTACCCAAACATTTCTTTTTACATTTTAATTTAATTTATATCATTCTTGACTTTCTAGATTCATTCAGTTTAGGGATGTTTTTTTTTTCAATTTATATCCAGAAAAAAAAATGTAGAAGTTAGAACTCAAAGAATTGTTTTATAATAAATTAAATGTAATTTAAACTCGCAATTAATGAATTGCATAACTAGAAACAAGGCATAGTTATGCGCTACGGAGGTTTTGCATACTCCAAGCACCTTGGGAAATTGACTAAAATAAAAATTTTATTAGAATTATTGATCATTTTTATTGTAACTTCCAGTGAATATGATAAATAGGTAGTTTTCTTGGTTATTTACTTTTCTCAGAATCCCATTATAAATTTTAAACCATTGCCAGTCCAATTATCTTTTCACAGAATTCAATAATGAATTTTTCTGGATTCCATTTCCTATCTTCTCTGAGCATTGAATGCAGATTGAATTAGAAAGATTAGATTGAATGCCGAAAGAAAATCAATGCTTTTTGACATGAGAAAAAAAAAAAATTGAATTTTTTACAATGTTTGGCTCATCCTCGGTTTATATTTTAATTCATTACTTTAACTTTATCAATTAATTCTATTATTCAGTCTTTAAGGAAGGTTCGAAACTTAACCAGCCAGAAAATTGGATGGAATTCCATAGAGCTAGAAAATAAATAAATGAGGCTCTACCAATGGAATCAGTACAGAGCAGTATTTTGAAGAAAACTGCTTAATGAAACAGAACAAGTACCTACAAACCTACTGAGAAAGAAAACTGTTGCAGAGTTTCTGATGATAACAAGATACGACTACCTCAGGAAATATTTGCATAGAATAGGAATGAGACTATCACATTCTATGCAATTCGGGCATTTATATAGATGCTTATTGAACATCGTAGATACCATACTATCCAAATAACAACGAAGTTTAGCCCTTTAAGGTCATTATAAATGATATCCACTGTACATTAATTTCCAATTTGAAAAAAATTCCTTGACTCCCATTTCTTCAGGTCAGTCGCCACCCTGCTAATATATACTATAGATGGACAACCTGTTGCCTCTGTTTTTGCAAGGTCTTCACCAATCTAGCACTAGAATTAATTAACATTGAATTATTTAGTATACAAAAATTAATAGAATTAAGTTGAATATATGTATTTGCTTAAAAATAAAAATAGCACCAGTAATATATAAAAAAAATATTCCAGCCTCCATTATCACTCGCTAACCCTAATTCGTCCCCTAACAATAAAAGGATTCCTGCCTACGCTAGGGTAGGGAACCGTGACATCAGAGGTCGCATGTGGCTCCCAATGTGTTTGTGTGATATTTATTAATCTATTGCTAGAATTAATTAATATTTTATTGTTCAAGTAACAACAATTTCCAAATCAATAGCATTAACTTGAATGTGTGTATATGTATCTAGTGACATATAAAAATAGAAACCGTAAAATATAAAGAATTATTACGGCCTCTATCAGCACCACCTAACCTTATTGCGGCCTCTAATAATAAAGATTTCCCACCTATGCCATGCCTATAAATGTGCAAGGTATACATAAATTCCAAACAGTAAGATACAAGGAATCATGGGATATCATCCAGGATTATTACAAATTTACTTATTAATAATAATATTATTTTCATTATTAATAATAAAAATAAAATAAATTAAAAAACAATTAATTAACGTAAATAGTCAGCAGGTAGCTGACGAAGCAGATATGTAACAGGCTAGTTTTTTCCTATACATTTTTTAAAATATTTTCTTTACACAATTGTACATTTATGATACAATTCTCTTAATACTTACTGACTTATATAAATAATTATAAAATTATTTTAAAAACTTGAGGATATAACCAAGAGGCATTGAAACAATAATTTGTATGTGTTTATTAAAAAGCACAATATTTCTTCTTTGTACAAGATATTTATTGAGCACTAGCGACCATCAGTTCTGATTAGGAGCATCGGCCTGCCAGTCGAAGCCGCCAGGCTGCTCCTCGGGCAGCGGAGAGTAACCCCTTTCCTCCACAGGTCGGTCAAACAGTCTCTTCCTGCATAATAAGTATGATTTCTAATAAAGCGGTTAACACAAAAATGGAGTAATAAAAATATCATTTTGAATTTATCCTGGAAGCCCATGCAGGAAAAGGTGACTTATTTACACTAAGTTTCATCTATTTTAAATAATTATTTCCTTCCAGAAGAGCTAAAACCTAGCTTTTTGTTGGCCTAAATCCGGTGGAACACAAATTGGAGGTTAATTGAAAATGGATTTTTTGAACTTTTCAGTTATTGATTTACAACAACAAAATGGTGTTACTAACAAAAAAAAAAAAACTATTCCAAGAATTAAGTACATGAAATTGTGCACCATATGATGAGTAACTTTATAAATTTGGTCCAAGATTATGCTTAAAATTGACCATAGAAAAACTTAAATTTTTATACTAACTATGCCAAAAAATACAATCCAGTGAGTCTTTATCAAATGTCTGTTCTAAATTACTAGCATTTTGAACAATTTTGAAGCATTAAATATTATGTTTAGTTCAAACTTTTACAAAAAACTGGTAAATATTTTGCTTTATGACGCTTGATTTCGAAGACATAGAACCAAATTTATAATAAAATTGTATACTTTAGAATTCTTACAGTTTTCAATTATACTAGTGTAAATATATTACGCATTAAAAAATCATCTTAGAGAATTAAAACCACATATTTTGATTATGTTTGCCATGCAGATCTGTGAACTGGTATTTATGTTTATATATAATATTTAATTTTATCATTGTCAATTCATGAGAGCCATGAGCGATTTCATGGTCGAATATCAGCTTAGCTTACAGGCTTTCAAAAGAATTCCACAGCATATACATCCACGTGCGGTCATAGAAGTAGCATCATCTATTTCTTTTGATTCTTTTTGATAACGCTGATTCCATTTAATGCTTTTGTTTATCTTAAGGTTAGATATACAGTTATATTAAGGTTAGAAGAAAACTTTAACAATGTATCTCAGTTCAGTTTTAACTAATGTCAGGATAAAAGCTGTAATTATGGTCTTTATAAAAAAATATCCTCGTCAAAAAATATTAAAATTGTGACATTACATGAAGTAAAGACATTTTCACAGGAAATAGTAACGAGAACAGGGTATCACCAATCAACAGTAGTCATAGCTTTGAGAAAAAAAAAAAAAATAAGACACCATGGAGTAAAAGAAAAAACTGGGAGGAGAAAAACAAATGCACAATTTGACTGTTTAATGGTGCGATTATTTTTAGAACATCGTTTCAAAACTGACAAAGAAATCTGGAGGTCTTGCAGATAGCAATCTAGTAAATAAAATGAAATTTAGAAAATGATTAAAGGATGATGTAATTTCTATGACCGTGACTGTATATAGACCTAAGAATCAGTCAGACATAGCTCTGATGAAATGAATTTTTATACTAAAAACATAATTCTTGATGACTGACTGTTTTTCAAGCAGAATTCCTAGCTGAAATAGGGTTGCTTAAGACTTTCCTCTGAAGCATTACCTTTTAAAAGAAATATAAAAAATCAGTTAAAAACACTTACAAAAATTGAGGGGTCTTGAGAATCCTGATACCGCCACTCTGCAGCGGAAAAACGTCCTCCATTACATAATAGGTGTGCCCGACAGCCATTCCCATTAAGTCAACCAACACTGTGTTACCGAGGAGCACTGAGAAACCAAGCAGCACCCAAGGCAGGTATGGTGCCTGAAATAAAACACTTCATTACTTAACACTATATTCAAGGAAACTGTCAATAATACAGGTTTCGAATAATGAATATGGTGCACTTTTTCATCCAGAATTCAAATTGATAATGAACAGAAAGGTGACATTTGTGTGGCATTATAAGAAAATAGATAACATAATAATCTAACCTTAAAATAAAATAAACAAAGCACAAGTAAACAAATTAAATTATACATGAATATATATGAGTGTGTTCACATATTTGTACTGATGAGCAATATTGATAATATAAAAGAATCTGTAAGATAACAGTCAAATGAAGGTGACAGATCTTAAATACGAAAATTTTATTCTTACATATATTTGGAAGATTGAATGCTGAGGAGGTGGAGAAATAAATGTTGTTAAGAAAGATGGTTTGCGAAAGGAGGAAGGTAAGAAATTCCAAAAAAAGATAGCATACATGACAAAAGATTTTTTAAAGGGAACAGTTCTATGAGAGGGAATAAACAGGTCTACGGGCTAGGTCTCGAGTTAAATGAACTGACAGAGGAACAAGGAGAAAACAAATCAAGAAGGTAAGATGGCTCTTTAGTTGTAAAGGTTTGGAAAACGAATACACATAGGAAATATTGCCACCAGAAAACTGGATAGAGCCACTTTACCAACTGGAGACATGGAGGCACCAAGGGACTTCATTGATTAATTTCTTCAATCTGATCTCAAGCCCACCAGTGAGGAAACTAGGAGCTGGCAGATTTTGAAGAGCATAGAATCACGGAATCTCAAGAACTGTTTTAGGGTAGCAATAGATTTTTGGATAATTTGGGAAACATGATATTTCAGAACAGGTATTTATCGAAAATTACACTGAGATTTCTAACATAAGTATGGCAACAAATAGGTAATCCATTGAGGTTGAGTAGGGGATAATAAGGAATGGAATAATAAGGGATGGGTATTGTTGGGAGGTATTGTTGATTGTAGAATTAATTTCAGATAGCCCTGATGATAACACACATATTTGGATTGGAACGTCGACTAACCCAATAAATATTACCACAATTGAAATTCCTGACAATTGTGTTTCATCCTAATATTTTTAATATGAGAAGGAGTTGATCGGGGGGTGTGGTCAAATTAATGCTAAATTAAGTAAGTAGAATTATTTAATTTTTGCCGACGTTTCGACCCACTTTGTAGGTCTTCATCAGGGCTCCTACAATACAAAACATGGTGAAAATAAATAGTATTAATTTGACCACACCCCCCCGAACAACTCCTCATATTATATCAACGGTCAACCATCTCTATATCCTAATATTTTTAAGATTATCTTTTTAAAAAATTAATTTCTATTGAAAGTAGGTTGGTATATGAATAATATTATATGCTTTGACACTAAAAACAATAGAAATATCTGTAACACTGACTTTTAAACTTATTAAACAAAGACAAAACATCCTTTTTTTCAGGTTTTAATAATAATTCCAACTTATAAGAACGAATTCAAGATCGCACTCTCTAGCTTGTAAATTACCCTACCTCAGTTTTTTAAAAACAAAATTTCATTGTTTTTTCAGATATTCCATGTCTGTAGTACTATATGTGTCTGTTTTATTAAATAAAAACAACGAATCATACCTGAAAATTAAGAAGGCCGAAAAAGTTCATTCTTATCAATGGATTACGCCTGGACCAGACGTATACCAGCATTATTGTGAATGCCTGTCCTAGGAACAGAAGATTAACAAAAAAAGCACATATCTATAAAAAGCCAAGTTAAGGAAAACTGAACATTATATCAGAGCAGCATAATATAATGATAGTTTAAAATACTTCAGCAACAGATCTATTTTACAAAAGTCATATTACCATTATAGACTGGAAAGGTAGTAATAATGAATTTTCACAATCATTGTTCACAATGATTAACTGAGGAAATTGAATACAATTTTTAAAACCAACTGAACTGATAAACTTCTTTTACATGTTTCGTTTTTGAACAATGTATGATCTGTTTCAATATTAATTTATCAAAACGGATGAAAAAAAAAAGGCGATATTCACCTCATATAAACTTTAGACTGGATGAAAAATAACTCAGGCATTCAGTGCACAATGACCCATCTGCTAACCAAATATGACCCTTCTATTGAGTTGTCATAAAACCATTAATCATCCTCCTGAATCAATAATTAATTAACCATTTTTTATATCTTATGGGAGGTTGCTGAGGAGTTAGAGTATACAACTACTTAACAAGAGCTGCTTCACTTTGAAGGGTGGGGCAAGATTGAATGGTCAAACTACAAACAGGATTTTGAAAATGAACTTGTATTGACGTATTAACAGTACATATAACCTCAATTAATTTATATTACGATTTATAACTTCTGCTAACTCCCAACTGATAATTTGAGGTAAAATTGGTGCCTTAATTAACATTATGATATATTGTTCCTTTCTACTTCCACTCGCACAAAAGGAATAAACAAACCCTCTTTTAGATCGTTACAGTTGAGGTTTGGGGCTTAACCAGTTTGGTCACCTCCTTCTAATTTTGAACACAATCAGATTTTCTCTTAATTCCAATCATAATGTGAGCACGGGATCTTGAACCAACTACCAAAGTGGAGTAACACTTATAAAGGTAATACCCAATAAGTTTTCATAATACAGATTTATAAATTAAGGTTATAATAAAATCTATATGCCAGAATATTTACACTAATGCACACTTTATATTCACAGTACCCTAGAAGACAATAAGATAATGACCATAAAAGAACTTAAAATATATCTTGAAAAGGATACAACCATACAAACACCACCAAAAATAAACATCATAACAAAGTCAGCTGTACGCCTTCTGAAACTTCCTTCTTCTAACATTCGACAATATCGATATGTGAAGATCATGTTGAAGAAAAAGTTGAAACCAAATGTTCCAAAGTATAAAAATGTAGTCACCAGGCGCCATACCTAAAAAGTGAAAGAAAAATTTATATTTTTAAAAATTGCTTAACTGTAAATGAGTTTAAGAAGATACTCTCATTACCTGATACTGCTTTAAAATCAGTATCGGATTGAAATATAGCTGGAATGGGGATACAATCTCGAGTTGCTGAAAAAGAGATGATATATGTAGAGATATGTAAGCATAGAGTGCAATTGGTAAAGTACTTAAACAATAGATAGTGATTACCACTGCCAATGTCGTTAATACACATGCTGTTGTGTAAGCTCTAGTAACAACGGGCGTTTGCATATATTCTTGAATCAAAGACTGGTGAGCCATGATAAGAGAGCACTTAAAATTCGAAAATTAGAAGCACATAGGATGATAACTTATCACAAAAACTGTACACTTACAAAATAACTCTTTACAAAAATGATAAAATAATGTATCTCATATTGAACAGTCTTTTTGAAAGACATTAAATTAGTACCCTGATTCCCATCACATTCAGGAATCACGATAGAAAACTAAGAAAACGGTTTGACATCTGTGATCTCTGTTATCAATTCACATTATAAAAATAAAAATTAAAACGTAACCAACAACAAAGGTTGATGAATTTTCATAAAACGTCTATCGAAACCACTCATACAGATTCAAACTACCGATTCCTTTAAAATTAAAGACACAGAAACATCACTTTTTACTTAGTAATAACACAAACGAATCATCGCCAAACCATGACAAGTGTATCTAATTAGCATATGATACCGTCACTGCCATCAACATAACCTAACTGACTTTTGAATTAAATTGACCATATTTAAATTAAAAAATATTATTTGAAAAACATTTTTCACTGGAAATCTTTCATTTTCTAAATTAATTTTCTGGTCGTTTTAAAATGCAATTTTATAAAAAAAAAATCTTTGTTCCTTTGAATTTACTTTAAATAAGAAATGGAACCTCGTAATTTTCTTTAAGTTTTTTAGTTTTCTAGATTTTCTTTCTTTAAGATTGAATTGAAAGTGGTATATAAGAAAACAGTATTCTGATCAAGATACCTGCCAATCAGGAAAAGGATGTTTGATGAAAAAAAATATATACAAGTATTTTTGATGATAGCGTTAAGGTAATGAGATTTAATTTGAATAAAATGTAACCAAAATTTTCTTAATAGTTCTTAATGGTCTATAAGTTAATATCTGAATTTATTTAAATTTTGGCGCTTGCAGGTATCCCAAAGCCCAGCAGCCGGTAAACTTAGTATTGTAATGGCTACAACTTGTTGAGTTTAAACCGTATGTGCATTCATGTAATTCTTCAACAGTCCTTGCTAACTTTCAACCATGGTAAGTGCAATTAAAAATTAGTCATAAATCTGTAGCGATGATTTCTTATTGTCTTCATTTATGTGTTTTGTTTTATATTTTTAATGAGTCATTATTTCAAACTAATAAAATAAATGTTATAGATTTAACAATAGCTATATGTTTGAATGTACATCATATGTTTTAATTGCAATAGTATTCAATGTATTGATATGGTTGAGTTAAAAATGAAAGTGTGTTATATTCTAACTTGTTTCCATTTTTAAGAATAACAATATATTCCCAGAATTTTCAATCCACCCAAGTTACGACAGTAAATGAAAGTGTGGGCTACAGAGCTTTACGTTGCTAGATTCGTGTTTTTTCTTTTATTTTTGTTTTGATATTTTAAAATAATTTTTAAATCAATTGAACCTGCGGTATTTATCATGTTTTGTTACTGAACAATTTAGAATTTGTTTCATAGTGGTCACTAGCGGATCCAGGATTTAATTTTTTTTTGGGAGGGGGGGCTTCAGCCCGAAATTTTTTTTTTAAAACATATAGCGATAATTAATTTGAAAAAAAATAAAGAAATTAATTACCTATATGAAATGATGTTTAAGTGGTTCTTGAAGTCCTATTAAATATAATTACACGAACAAGAATACTTTAAGAGATAGTTTTTAATATTTTTTTCTGTAAAACACGGTTATATTTTACCATTTTGGGGGAGGCTTCAGCCCGAATGCCCCCCCCCCCCGTAGATTCGCCAGTGACAGTGGTTGAGATACAGTTGGCTGCAAATCAGTGCAATAACACTGGATATTAATTCTTGGATATAAAAATAGTTGATTGACCAGAATCGATTCGAAATTAGAGCTGGAACACTCGAATATATAAACTCCACGTATCCAAAAAAACAAGTGGACCAGAATAAATCCAAACTATAGATCTAAGCAGGAGTCGATACTGTTATGTCCATGTCTTAGTCGGAAAATTAAAACTTTAATTTTAATAGAACTATAGAGGCTTCGGAAATCAAAAATCATTTTTCTAGCCGCCATGACTTCGGTTCTTTTGAGCTTAAAGCGAGGCATCATTGCTTGTCAATGAGCTGGAATACTTGAAAAATTTAAAACGATAAATAAATCGTTTCAGTTGATGTGGAACTAACAGCACCCAGACTTCAAACTCCAGAATCCCTACTACTCACTTTCAAGGAACAAGTTTTAATTTTCCGACTTAGGACTTGACATAACAGTTTAACTCACAATCTGTAAAAATTTAAAATTGGTCCGATTCTTTTATGTAAATGAGGAAGTGGTGGACAAACAACGTAACACATTCTCTAGACATGTATCTTAATGGGGAAACAACGGAAGCTGTATGAAAACCTGGAGGATGTCAGAAGTACCGTCGACTCATAAATCATTCTCTGACTTAGCCATTTGAATGGATAGAACGAAGAAGAAGAAGGTCTCTGTTGATGCAGAACAGGAGACCATCTAAGCTGGAAGAAATGGAGAGGACAGATTTTAGTCTATACGGAGTTTTCTCGAGCCAGAGGGTGACGACGTGGATCAATTAAAAGCTTCCCTGCACCAGTACGCAAACTCGTAATTATTTTATCAATTTGTTTCATTAAGTTGCCGGACAACGCGGTGTTGTCCCCTCGTGTTAGCTCGCTCGGCAACCCTGCCCCCTTCAAAGATAATAGAGAGAACATATCTACCCAAACCCTACGGACTGGACGACGAAGCTCTACGGTAGTCTGGGGGATCTCATTAAGACGATTGAGCTCCTACTTTTAATTCCGTACCCGACCATTTGAGGGATCGAAGATGAAATGCTTTTTGAGTTGATGTGGTGCCAATTGAGACCACTAGCGGATCTAGGATTTAATTTTGGGGGGCTTCACCGCGGAAGCTTCTTTTTTTTCATAAAAATAACGATAATTATTTTGGAAAAAAGAAAGAAACTAACTACCTATATGAAATTGTGTTTAAATGATTCTTGAAGCCCTTTTAAATGTATTTACACGAACAATAAAACTTCAAGAGGTATTTCTAAATTTTTTTTCCCATAAAACATGGTTATATTTTACTATTTTGGAGGGGGGCGGGGAGCTTCAGCCCGGAAGCCCTTCCTCCCCCCCCCCCGTAGATCCACCCGTGGTTGTGGCTCTCAAAAAGCTCTTCTCCATGGCCAAGTAGGGCAAGCTTTAAATTAAGAAAAAAACAAAAGTATTGCTTTTCACAATCACAAAATTTAGCAAAGTATTTATGAATGCCGTAACGTCTTACTTACTGATGATCGATTAGCAAGTTTATATATAGCATTTCCAAGTCAATTTCAACCTTTTCCAAATCAAATTCAACCTTTTCCAAGTCAAATTAAACCTTTTCCATTTCAAATTCAACCTTTTCCAAGTCAAATTCAACCTTTTCCATTTCAAATTCAACTTTAGAATTTTTGTCAATTTTCGATTTTTTTCGAAATGAAGGCCACTTACTACATTATCGACGGCATAGCTTTTAAAAAATACAAAAAAAAATTTGATTACGCAGTTGCATATCCATTTATTTTAACATTTTAGATTTTTTCAGTGTGATATTTCTAAGTGATATTCAATTATTTCCAAGTCAAATTCAACCTTTTCCAAGTCAAATTCAACCTTTTCCAGATCAAATCAAACTTTTTCCAAGTCAATTCAACCATTTCCATTTCAAATTAAACCTTTTCCAATTCAAATTCAACCGTTTTCATTTCAAATTAATGTTTTAAGTTTTTGTAAATTTTATATTTTTTTTTTTAAATAATGGCCATCTCCTCCCCCCTCCAATATGAAAGTCTATTATTATGCTCTCCTAAGTAGAATTTTCACTTACGGATATCGATTTATTGTACCTATTCGGATTTCTTAGGGACTAGTATTATGCTGTCCTGTACCTAGTTTTGAAAATAATCTCCATTTTAAGATTACGTGACTGCGTTTCGAATCATTTAAGTTCTTTTGACAAATTCGATATGTGGGTGTATTTTTATGTTTCCCGATCAGTAAATTTTGAAAATGACATCCATTTTATGTTTACGCCACTGTGTTTTGACTTATTTAAGTTTTTAGAATTTATCCAATATAAAGATCTACTTTTATGTTTCCGGAGCCGTAGATTTTGAAAACGACCTTCATTTTAAGATTAGGCCACCGCGTTTCGACTTATTTGAGTTTTTCGGATTTTTTTCATATGAGGATGTATTCTTATGTTTCCGGAGCCGTAGATTTTGAAAACGACCTCCATTTTAAGATTAGGCCACCGCATTTCAATTTCTTTGAGTTTTTCGGATTTTTTTCATATGAGGATGTATTCTTATGTTTCCGGAGCCGTAGATTTTGAAAACGACCTCCATTTTAAGATTAGGCCACCGCATTTCGATTTCTTTAAGTGTTTCGAATTTTTATCATAAAAGAGTGTATTCTTATGTTTCCGGAGTCGTAGATTTTGAAAATGACCTCCATTTTAAGATTACGCCACTACGTTTCGGCTTATTCAAGTTTTTCGAATTTATCCAATTTAAAGGTCTACTTTTATGATGCCGGAGCCTTAGTTTTTAAAACGACTTACATTTTAAGATTAGGCCACTGTGTTTCGGTTTTGTTAAGTGTTTTTGATTTTTCCTTCGAATAAAAAACATAATACGAAGGATTAATTTCTTTTCAATAAATAAAAAAAATATCTACTCAAAATAAATAAAATATGTATTGTCTCATTTTTAATTTAATTTTAGTTATCTTTTTTAATATTGTGGTCTCCTATCACAAAATTATAAGATTTCGAACAATTAGCTGAAAAATCTGAATACGGAAGATTAAATTTATTACCAGTTGCTTTTCGGCTTTTTAGTTTGTATTCTGTGGTTAATTTTACTTTAGCTTCATAATATTTATTTATTTATTCATACTCGAAAACATATTGATGAAACTTTGTATTGAAAAAATCCAAAATGAAGCCTAATTAATCAAGATGCAGCGGCTTAATCATAAAATGGAGCTTAAATATTAGATAAATTTAAATATTAAAGATTAGAAAAATTTCAATACGTCTCGGATAACATATAAGTAGATCCTTATACCGAAAAAGTAAAAAAAGAAACTTTTATAATCCAAAACAGTGGCATAAACTTTAAATTGGGTCATTTACAAAATTGGGGAAATCTACTGCTCCAGAAACATAAAATTAGACCTTTATACTTGTTAAATTCTAAAAATTTAAATAAGTTGAAACGCAGTTGCGTAATCATAAAATAGAGGTCATTTTCAGAATCTACGGTTCCGAAAACATAAAAGTAGACCTTTAAATTGGATATATTCGAAAAACTTAAGTAAGTCAAAATGCAATGGCGTCATCATTAAGTGGATGTCATTTTCAATATCTACGGCTCAAGAAACATAAAAGTAGACCTTAATATTGGATAAATTCGAAAAACTTAAATAAGTTAAAACGCAGTGGCGTAATCATAAAATGGAAATCATTTTCAAAATCTACAGCTCCGGAAACATAAAAATACACCCTCATATGAAAAATATTCGAAAAACTCAACTAAGTCGAAACGCGGTGGCCTAATCTTAAAATGGAGGTCATTTTCAAAATCTACAGCTTCGGAAACATAAAAATACACCCTCATATGAAAAATATCCGAAAAACTCAAATAAGTCGAAACGCGGTGGCCTAATCTTAAAATGGAGGTCATTTTCAAAATCTACAGCTCCGGATACATAAAAATACACCCTCATATGAAAAATATCCGAAAAACTCAAATAAGTCGAAACGCGGTGGCCTAATCTTAAAATGGAGGTCGTTTTCAAAATCTTCGGCTCCGGAAACAAAAAAGTAGACCTTTATATTGGATAAATTCTAAAAACTTAAATAAATCAAAACACAGTGGCGTAAACATAAAATAGATGTCATTTTAAAAATTTACTGATCGGGAAACATAAAAATACACCCTTATATCGAATAAATAAAAAAAAACTTAAATAATTCGAAACGCAGTCACGTAATCTTAAAAAGGAGATTATTTTAAAAAACTACTCATACGATAACAGACCCACGCATCGAAAAATTAAAGATAATTAAATAAATAAAAAAAGGTTGAATTTGAAATGGAAAAGGTTTAATTTGAAATGGAAAAGGTTGAATTTGACTTGGAAAAAGTTTAATTTGATTTGGAAAAGGTTGAATTTGACTTGGAAAAGGTTGAAATTGACTTGGAAATGCTATACTTCTGTAGAAAATAAAATTTTCTGAAACTTTCTTCAGGCCAATTTTATGTAAAATTAAAAATACAAGTTTATTCAAAAGCGTGAGGCTGAAATCATTTTTCCGGATATAGTCGATATATGATGATATTTATCTCAAGAACTATAACAAATACGAAAACATGACTATGTAAATTCTTAAAAGAAATTTTATCAGCTCTGATTTAGGATCTAACTAGTTTTTTTTTTTTTACGAACATTTTCGAGATATAAACAAAAAAAAAATAAAAAAGGGATCTTAACAGCATCGCCCTACCACGAAGCGGCAAGCGTAAAGGTGGGGACTTTTAGTGTTTTTACCTCCTATATACTCCCAACGAATTCCTAAAATCAAATGCTTTCCGACTGTCCATGCACGCTACATGCTCCTTTTGTCATTCATTGAACTCTTTACTCAGTTTTTGACGAAATTGAGTTTAGTATCTAACTTTAGATCTTCACCTCCAGGGGTGTCCAGAAAGGGATTTTATGGCGCAACATGCGCCATCTTACTTTTTAAAGGGGGCGTATTTTGGGAGGTTTTTGCATTTTTGATTGGAGCATGTTTCAAGGGGGTTATGATGAAATTATATGAAGGAGCCCATTAGTGACTAAATAGGGTAGTTTTTTTGAAATCTCGAGTAAAACTTTGAGAATTGAATTAATAGTTGTTAGAATATATATGAAAATTTATTATGGATTGAAATGACTTTTATTAATGTGCATTTGTGTCTTAGCACCGAAGATTTTACCTGTATTTCTACCAAAATACATTTTATCTTGACATCCACATTGTATAAATATGTAATTATATAACAATAATTGGTGTGGGGAGCGGTTGTTTTTTTAGGTCCTCTTATAAATAGAAAATTTTTAGTGTGGGGGCTACATTAATAAGTGGGGATCTGGGGCGTATTTATTTCTGAAAATTACTTTTAAAAAAATTATATTTATCTAACACCATGTTTATTTATTGTTCATTTGAATAATTAGCTGATTGAATATAAATATGGAGGTCTGTACTTTATAAGAACTGTTTTTTGGTTAATGGTTATACAAAGATGTGTTTTGACCTAAATCACGCTTAATCTACCAATTATTCCTCTCAATTAATTTTTAAATAATTTATTAAACCGCCAGGTCATTGAGCATAGGATCACAGTGCCTTACTCCCTCTAACATAATGAGTTGTTTCCAGAAAAAAGAATTAATAAACATTCTGCCATATTTAATATATTTGTCGATTACTAAATTGTTATTCTTTCATTTAAGTGTATTAACGATTAATTAGATTAATTCTCTGAGAGAAAATAAAAAAAATATTCTTGTCTTACAAAGAAAAATGTTTGTAAATTTTCTGCCGAGAAGTTATCATTTAATTTTCATTAACATTTCATGCTCTGGGATTCGTAATACTTTCTGTAAGTGCGACCAGGGCCAGAAAAGTAATCTTTAGAATCCATGTCAACAAAGGTTCGGAAATATAACATTTTGTTTTTGACTTGTATCTTGCCAAATCTGAACTTTAAGGCATGTTACAATAAAATTGAATGAACTATTATAACTTAGTTATTATACTAAATAACTATAGGTGAAAGGTATTTTTACAATATAAATATCATGTTTCAAATATTTATTATATAATTCCTATATACAGCTTATAATTTTTTCAAATCATAAATGCATCTTTGATTAATTATATAGTCCCATACATGAGATGATAATTATTGATAGATCTGCCATAAATAAGAGAATATTTTATTTATTATCTTCTTCCACTGTAGTTGGGTTACTGATCTGGACCAAAATTACTAGATACGTCACAACTACAGCTAAAACCTGAAAAGTCATAGAATTAATACTAATCATTACATTGAAGACTTATTCTTTAAAAATAAATCAACAGTCTTGTCAAGTTCAGTTTAATGTCCGAGTACCACTAGAGTACAATAGATTATAGAAAGCAGGGTAAAGCAGATAGAACCATAAATGATAAGAAACATCATCAAGAAACTGTCAACAGAAGTATTTGTCCAGCTGTGAAAGTCCATCATAAGGGTATACATAAAGTGCTCTATAAGAAGTTATTTTTTTGTTTTGAATTTTTAGGTTGAATAAGATAGTGAAGAGCAGTATCTATAATATGTTAATAATTATCAATTCTCAAATCTTAAGTATATATATATATATAGTTCTTTTTTTGGAAAAACTCACCGAACTAATTGCGTGCCTACCTAGAGAGAAGAACCCACATACATTCAGATTTACTGAAGGCTTCATATGCAAATACAATACTAGTATTTCCTAGAAAGATAAAAGAACCTATAGTAGCTTTGTATTTTTTTTTTTTCATAACAATACATATTATTTATTATATATTTATACATTATTTGTAATTCGTATAACAAAATAATTCTAGATATCTTTTAAGCAACTAAAATATAATGATGTATCTAAAAGTTGAAATAATTTAAATATTATTAATCAAATGAGATAATATTTACATTGTTGATATTTTTATGTTTTCTTAGTACACCAGAGAGTGCAGTGTGAAAACTGTCAGCCTGTAAAAAAATATAAATATTTTTATTCTTTGATGAATATTTGGTGATTATATGTATAATTTATTATATTATATTTTAATATTTTATATTTATTTATTACATAGAATTTGCTTTTAAACTCTGAATGTAAGGAGCAATACATATTCTTAATATAAGAATTGCATATACAATAATGTGAACTAACTAATAATATGCAGAACTAAATTTTAAATAAAAAAATTATTGAATACTTAATAGTTGGCCGTTGTATTATTAAGGAAGGAGATGGTCCTGGGTGGCGGTTATAAACAGACTAAATAGTGACAAAACTATTTTATTAAAAGCCAACGTTTCGACCCGACTGCAGATCTTCTTCAGGGCTAGAACAGACAAGATATACAGAGGTATAGATATATTTTAGAGAGATATAGATATATTTCAAAATGTTGATATATTTTTGTATTCTGTCCGTTCTAGCCCTGAAAAAGACCTGCAAAGTTGGGTCGAAACGTTGGCTTTTAATAAAATAGTTTTGCCACTATTTAGTCTTTTTATGACCGTCACCCCAGACCATCTCCTTCCTTAAAAAAAATTATGTTTTCTTTTATTTTGTATTCTAATTTCACATGATACATTATTGCTAGAATGATTTCAAATTTACAAATTTTACAAAAAGTGCATATACCCGACTATTTTAAGCCTTATGTGGATATTAGAAATAGAGTTTGAAAAATTATCTGTCATTACATTGTAAAATTTTAAAAATTATTTATAAAATATGAACTTGTATCTCTTAGAAAGTTAATCTTATACTGTGGGACTTAGTGGAGGTCTCAATGTTGCCTGCCAGGCAAAAAGATAGAAGACGCCTGTTCTACAGAATGTCCAGAAAGGGCTCACGTGGCACAGGTGTAAGTTGCACCTTAAACATTTTTGTGGGGTTTCAGAGAAAATAACTGAATTTTTTATAATTTTAGTTATATTTGTACCAATTTAAAGAGAAGAGCAATAAATTTTCTTGGGAGGGAGCATGGTACACCTCTGCAGTATAGGTTCTTAAATTGTGATTGACAGATCCACAAGTTTCCTGAATGATAGAAGGAATCTATTTCAGGAATCTGGAATCTCCTGTAGTCCTGCCTTGACGTCCACATTTGGGTGGCAAGCCTTGATTCGGAGTTCACTGTGCAAATGTAAATATTATAGATACATAAGTATGAATGTATTTATTTAGTTATTCATCTATACAATTTTATTTCTGAAGAACAAAGTATTTTCCTTTAAGTATATTATTATCCTTATTATTATGTTTTTAAATTTTTATATATTAGAGTGCTGCCAATGGGTAGTTTCTCAACATGTGTTTCATGTCATTATATATTATATTTTAATTATATAATATCCATGTACGAATTTACTAGATGTATTGTTTTTATACAGTTGTAAATATCATATAAATAATAATAAGAAAAAAAAATTATATATATATATATATATATATATATAGTATGAATGGCCCAATTACTTGTTACCCTTCCCTTCAATCTGACAGATTGTATATTATTATACAATAATACTTGTTAAAAAAATATATGTATTCATTTTATGTTTTTATTCTAATATTGTAATAATAATTTTGATATACATACTTGAATGCACAATTCCATTTATTAAAATAACAAGTAAGACATTTTTACAAACATATATTATAGTGTTTATGAGATTATTAAAACTGAGAAACCCCATATTTATAGAATTTGGCATGAGTGGATTAAATAAAATAAAACTAAAGCTATCCCCATCAGATCCTAATCTCTTTTCCATTTTTTTCCTTATCTTCATTTATTTTTTCTCAACAACATTCCTACTTCGTTTCATTTCTTGGTCAAAAACCTCTGAGTCAACTTCAACTAATTAACATTTGTCCTTGATCAGTTTATCTAAAATATCTAGAAAATCCATTGTTATATTCTAACAATTCCATACATTCTACCAATCCTAGGTTTAAAAGCCTTAAGCAACTTTACTTCAGAAACATTATCTCATTATAATATTTCCAATCAATCTATATGTAATAATACAATCAAATTACACAGTACCTTATAATTATTTTTCTATTTTGCTAAAATGTACTTTTAAATCCAAAAGTAGGGAGAGATCAATATGTTACTTAAATTACTGATCAATACCTTTGGAACGTAACACTTACATATACATTATTTTATAATTACGTATTTCCTCCCTCTATTTCCATACCACTAATTCTATGTAATACCATTACTATATTACAGAAAATTATTACTGTTATACAATACTTATTTGGATCAGATTCATAAAACATAACTACAGAATTAACCAAAAAAAAAATAAAAAAATAAATGCTAAAGTTACAAAATTAAAATGCACACATATCAACCAACATAGTTTTATGAAAATAAACAGAAAAATATGGATAAATAAATTTTGGAGTATTAAAGAAATTAATATTGAATACAACTCTCCATAAAATCCTTAATGTTTCATATGTCGCTGATTTGGCCTGAACCAGATATCTATCTTTTTATGATTAACTCCATGATTTCTTTTTATGATTTCCATCAAAACACTTCTTCTTTGCCTTGTTTCCTCTGGATTCCTGATAATCCTTCTAGGCATCTGAAGGAGATGGCTTCCTGATCTTACTCAAAATTATTTAGGGATAGTTACCATTGGGTAGTATTCCAGAAATCTGTTCATGTCGTTATTCATGATTTTTTTACATTTGTTGTGTTTTTATCTATATAAATAAAATAAAGGTTTTGTCTGTACATTGAATTGAATCAACCTGTTTCATGATGTCTTCCCGTTTCATACATTACTGACACCAAATCCACTTTTAAAAATTTTTTGTCTGTCTATATGTCCGCATTGTCCAACTGACCGAAATTTTGTCAGGGGTAATCGCAGCAATGGCTAGTGGTAGACTTTTGAAATTTTGACGTTACATTTAGGTTTGCTTGACTTAAATGAAAATTGGCTTTAAATGGAAACAAAATATTTAACAGAACCAAAGTTATGAATTCTTGATTAATTTGTCTGGATATACTGGTTAGGCCACTAGCGGATCCAGGATTTAATTTTGAGGGGGCTTCAGCCTGAAATTTTTTTTTTCGTGAATATACCGATAATTATTTTGGAAAAAAGAAAGATACTAACTACCTACATGATTAAGTGAACCTTGAAATCCTATAAAATGTAATTACACGTATAATAATGCTTTAATAGATAATTTTTAAATATTTTTTTCCATAAAACATGGTTACATTATACCATTTGGGGGGGCTTCAGCCACAAATCTCCCCCTCCCCATAGATACCTGTGTGTTAGGCAGTTACTTACTTCGATTCTCATCCTAACCTACTCTACGGCGAGACACATTTAAAAGTTGTTCTATTCATCTGATGGGAAAAATTATCACAACTCAACGGGAAGAATCCGAAATTCCGAACATCTGTAACGCGTTGTCGCTTAAAACATACTCATTTTTCACCTTTGTCCGATCTTTAAGGTGTCATTCGATTCAACTTCCCGAACTTAACAAATGTTGTCGTATACATTTTTAGGATTAACCAAACGGATTAGCTGGAAACCGGGGGGGGGGGAGGGGGGGAGGGGAACTCCTAAAAATGTCATCCCGCCCGCCACAATATTCAGATGAAGTTCTAATTTTACACGGATGTAGGTGACTCAATGTCCAATGTTATTTTTCCAGCGATAAACTCAGCAGAGCTTAAAGAAGTGGAGAGCCTACAACTCTTTTTGATTATTTCCATCGACTCCACTATTTCCTGGCTTCATCATAAATAGAAATTAAACACTTAAAAAAAAATTAATGGATCGGTGGTGGTCGGATTTAGTCGAGTGGCACCTAAACAAATAGCCGAATAACAAAGTTTTTATTATGACTATTGCGAAACCTTGACTTCCTTGATAAAAAAATTCAAAATATTCCCTCCCCTCTCCACCCAATTTTATGAAATAAATTTGGATCCCTCTCCTCCCCCCATAATACAAAATCCATCTAAAAAAAAAAAAAGATTCTCAAATTTTAACTATACACTCCTCAAAGACGGATATATCAGGTAGTATTTAATGAAGTTGTAAGCACCTTTTGAGGTTGTGATCCTCAATCTTCTTACTTACTATTTATGGAGTGCTACCATTGGGCATTGATTTCTTCACATTTTCTGGATGTATTTATGTAATACAAATGTAAATTTAAATAAATAATAATATGCAACTCTCACCGCTTCCTTAGTCAATTCGCTAGTATGCGCAGTAGCGAGGAGCATGGTTAGTGACCAGATGAAGTTAGTGGCTGAAGGAAATACAATGGATAAGATATGTGGATAGTGGCTGAACCTGACGAGATTATAAATTACGTAAAAAGAGTCCACCGTCAGGATCAAGAACAACCTGAACATCCCAAACAACAATTGTTTGGAATACAGCTCGTTGACATCGTGGCACAGTTCGACCAGTTGCCAATGCTCCTCCACCTGATTCAAAAGAGTGGACTCTGTGTCTCCAATAGAGCTTGTCAATGTTAGAAACTGGCCTTTTAGGAAGTCTAGAAAATAAACGAACTGCATCAGGATTGTGTACATAATTAAGTAAATGAACGTGATGATAAAAAAAGACCAATAAATCGGATACTGAAGGAAGAGTCTTGTGTAGTTGTATACATCTACGAGGAATATAATAAACGTAATGACTGACCAAAAAATAACATTAATAGAAACATGTTTGCAATTTTTCTTATATAAATATCCAATACATTCGAGAAAGTTGTTAATTGGTTCTTTCTTAAATGTGAAAGCAGTAACATGGATGCCTATAGTGATGATATCTACAGAAGAACTAAATGCAATAAGTGCCATGGTATATGTATCGAACAGATTGAAACTCAAGAGAGACCTAACGGAAATTATCTCAACCAAAACAAAGCAGACATAAGCGATGTTTGAATACAGTTTCCAAGTGTCGCATATCTGCCAGTAATCTTTGTGAGGAAAGAGGAATATGAATTTGGAGAAAAGCAAGAATGGTTTGAGCAGAATGAAGTGTAAAGCCATTACGATATGTTAGACGGAAATGGTGATTTGACAGTTTATAAGGTAAGATATTATTGACCGAATTTTATGGTCTGACACCCAAGTGGAGAGTAAATAATGTTAAGAAGACAGGTCTGCTATAGCATTTGTAAATAGTTGGTTGATAGATATTGACGCATCACTTTTATATTTCGAATAATTTGATTTGAAGAAACATTATTTGACTTAACTTCAACCATATTATATAGAAAATGATTCCTAGACATTTTTTTTTTTTTTAAAGAAAAACTCTTCAGGCGCACTTAGCAGTTTAATATATGAGCATTGAATGACAGTGAGGGCGTTGTACAATTGGACTTCAAATCAAGTTCAAGCTTGAACTGCAGTTAACCATGAAAATCATGAAGGATTTGAATGAAACCGTCACACTCAGCTATGTAACATTCATTCCGATGAAGTCAGCTCGAGTCAACTAATTTTACATTTGTTATATTTATACTTTTTTCATTAATATAGTATGTTAGTAATAAAATATAATATTTTCGATCTCTACCGCTTATTCTTTTTTATTTTCATTATAATTTTATAATGGCTAAATTTAATCTGAGAGTATTTGATCGAATCTCTATGATTTGATCTGTATCAGTTATTCTTAATATAATTCTTAAAATTAATGAAAAAATATATATTTTTTTCATCGAACAATGTAAACAAGTATCGATGGTGTTTAGAGTATCATTATCAATGATGTTTAAAAATTTATATTAATAAAAATTAAATAAAATGTTTAATATTCTATTAGAACTATTGTAAAGTGAATATTTATAATTGATAAACGTTACATTTTTACACTACTTTTTTTTGTTATTTCATATATATTTTTTTCTGTTGGCATTACTGACCATGTAGATCTTTTATCACCTTGACAAGCTTGCTCTGTCTCTGCCTGTCTTGGGTTATTTTTTTCCACTTGTCTGCACGCAGCTCTGTTGATTCTGTCTATCCATCTTCTTTTTGCCCTCCACGTGTTCTTTTGCCTTTTATTGAGGCATTCATTGTTACGTAGAGACTTCCAGATGGATTGCTACGGACTACATACCCCACCCATCTTAACCTCCGTGCCTTAATATCATAGGATATTGATTGACCAGTTTCTGTAAGCAGTTCTTTATAGGTCTTTTTTATCCATGTGTTAGTACTCTGATCCCAGATCGCTCCGGTTATCGTGCGGGGGATTTTCCTCTCAAATCTTTAAACAAAAATTTTTAGGGTCCTGGTTAGAGTCCAAGTCTCACAGCCACATATCAGAAATGGCTTTATCATAGTATAGTACACTCTTAATTTGAGATCTCATGAGATTTGTTGGGATTTCAATATTTTTTGAAGTAAGAAGAAAGCTCTGTTTGCGCTAGTTATACGATGGTCTATTTCTGCCCGTTTGTCCTTCATTGAGGTTATTGTGGAACCAAGATATTTGAATTTTTCTACTCTCGATACTTGAATGATTTTCCTTCTATTCAGATCCTCTTATTGCGGTTGAATTTTCGGCTTATTATCATGCATTTTGTTTTGTCTTCATTTACTGGTAGGCCGATCTGCTCTGCCTCTCTTATCGGAGCTGTAGCGAGTTTCTTAATGTCCTCTTGATTACTTCCAAGGACAGCTATATCTATAACAAATATATTTATAACATATTAATGTATTACAACTATATTTTGTGTTATTATCGTGTTTTTTTAAATAAACAAAATTAAAATAACTATTATATATAGTGATATAGACATATCAAATAACTATAATATCAGATAAATATAAATAGGTATCTGAAATTATGCGTTTCAAAAGGTCTTTATCATTATCGAAGTTAATTTATTGTCAAATTTAAACTTCACAGGTTTAAACAAAGATACCGGAATTTTGTATATTTTCGTGAAAACTTTCTGATTTTGACGTCATATTCGTGTTCCTTGGCCTTGAAAACATAAGGTTGCTGAATATTAAGTTAATCCGACGTCATTAACAAGTTGAAGGCCCATTGTCCACGAAAAAATTCCTTTCGTCCCCCTGTGCGGCGCCTGTGGTCTGTGATTGTTAAAGCTAGAAGTCTGGAACAATCATGTCTCCCAAATTATCTGAAAATCTATTGCAACCCTAAAACAGCTCCTGAGATTTCGTGATTCTGTGCCCCTAAAAAGTCGCCAACTCCTAGTTTCCTCACTCATCTTTCCTCACTTCGATTATGTCTGCCTGTGTAAGGTGGACTGTCAGGTGGGCTTGAGATCAGGCTGAAAAGATTAATGAATTGTTACATTCGATTCATCTTTGGAGTCCTCTGGACCTCTCACGTCTGCAGTTGGTATGCTGAGTTGAAGTGGCTCTATCTAGATTTCCGGCGGCAATATTTTCTAGGTGTATTCCTTTTCCTAACCTTTACAACCAAAAAGCCATCTTACCTTCTTCATTTGTTTTCTCCTTGTTCCTCTCTTCATTCGTTTTACACGAGATCCCAGTCAATAAACCTGCTTGTTCCTTCTCATATAACCGTTTTCTTTAAAAATCCTTTATCATATATTTTATCGTTTTTTTTTTAGAATTCTCTTCCTATCTCAATATGCAAATCCTTTTCCTTAATCTCATTTAAAGAACATTAATTCTTCCACCTCCTTAACAATCGATCTTCCGAATACATGCAAGAATAAAATTTTGTTTTAAAGAGCTGTCACTTTCGTTTGACTGTTATGTTTCTGTTACTTACATATCATCAATATTGTTAATCGGAACAAATATGTCAACACTTGCTTACTATTTATGGAGTGCTGCCCATTGAGCAGTACCTCTATAAATCTGTTCACGTCATTATTGATTTTTTCAAAAAAATTTCTGAATGTATTTATTTAATACAGTTGAAAATTTCAATAGATGAATGTATATATAACTCACCGCTTCCTTGGTCAGTTCGCATGTGTTCGCAGTAGCCAGTAGCATGCTTAGTGACCAGGTAAAGTTGGTAGCAGAGGGAAATACAAAGGATAAGACTTGTGGATAGTTGCTGAACCTGACGAGATTATAAATTACGTAAAAAGAATCCACAATCAGGGTCAAGAACAACCTGAAAATCCCAAACAACAATTGTTTGGAATACAGCTCGTTGACATCGTGGCACAGTTCGATCAGTTGCCAATGCTCCTCCACCTGATTAAGAAGAGTGGACTCTGTATCTCCAATAGAGCTTGTCAGTGTTAGAAGTTGGCCTTTTAGGAAGTCTAGAAAATAAACGAACTGCATCAGGATTGTGTACATAATTAAGTAAATGGACGTGATGACAACTAAAGACCAAAAAACCGGATATTGAAGGAAGAGTCTTGTGTAGTTGTATACATCTACGAGGAATATAATAAACGTAACGACTGACCAAACAATAACATTAATAGAAACATGTTTGCAATTTTTCTTATATAAATATCCAATACATTCGAGAAAATTGTTAATTGGTTTCTTCTTAAATGTGAAAGCAGTAACGTGGGTGCCTATAGTGATGATATCTACAGAAGAACTAAATGCAATAAGTGCCATGGTATATGTATTGAACAGATTGAAACTCAAGAGAGACCTAATGGATATTATCTCAACAAAAACAAAGCAGACGTAAGCGATGATTGAATACATTTTCCAAGTGTCGCATATCTCCCAATAATCTTTGTGAGGAAAGAGGAACATGAATTTGGAGAAAAACAAGAATGGTTTGAGCAGAATGAAGTGTAAAGCCATTACGATGTGTTAGACGGGAATGGTGATTTGACAGTTTATAAGGTAAAATATTATTGACCGGATTTTATGGTTTGACACCCAAGTGGAGAGTAAATAATGTTAAGAAGACAGGCCTGCCATAGCATTTGTAAATAGTTGGTTGATAGATATTGACGCATCAGTTTTATATTTCGAATAATGTGATTAGAAAAAACATTATTTGACATAATTTCAACCATATTATAGAGAAAATGATTTCTACACATCTTTTGAAAAGAAAAACTCTTCATGCGCACTTAGCACTTTAATATATGAGCAAAGTAGAAAAATTCCTCTCCTCACCAATTCCACTTTCCCTACCACCAAAAGCAATTCATCCTTCTGAGGTCAAATATCATTTACAAAAATTATCTTCCCGCAAATCTCCTGGATATGACCTTCTAACCCCACAGATCCTTCATCAACTACCACCCCAAGCGTCATATTCCTCACATATGTATACAACTGCATCCTAAGAACTACCCATTTTCCTCTCTTATGGAAACATCCCACCATCGTCCTTGAAACCAGCCAAACCTTCCAATAACACATCATCCTAAAGACCAATCAGCCTACTTCCCCCCTCCCCCTTAAAAAATATTTGAAAAAATCCTATTAAAAAGAATCCTACCCATAATACAATCACAAAACCTTCCTACCAATCAATTTGGATTTCGTTTCCAGCATTCCAACGTTCAACAAGCACTTCGAGTTGTTGGCCACATATCCTCAGCCTTAGAAAGCAAAGAGTATTGCTCGGGAGCATTCCTGGACATTGAGCAAGCTTTCGACCGCGTATGGCACACCGGACTACTCTTCAAGCTCAAAACCCACCTACCCCAGTCCTTATATCTAATACTCCGATCCTACCTCTCTGACCGCTCCTTTCGAGTTCGTTGTGGTACAAAAGTCTCCAACTGCCATTCAATAGAGGCGGGAGTTCCTCAAGACAGCGTTTTGGGTCCCGTCCTCTACAGTCTGTTTACCGCTGATATTCCTACTCACCCCGAAACCCTCCTCGCAACATTCGCTGATGACACAGCTATCCTATCTTCCAATGTAGATCCTAAAACAGCATCCTCAAACCTACAAAGTCACCTTTCTCTTATTGAACATTGGTGTAATAAGTGGCGTATCCAAGTAAATAAATCCAAATCCAAACACATCACTTTTACCTTTCGGCGCCAGTCCTGTCCACCAGTCTACTTCAAATCCATACCACTTCCTCTTTCAGACATTGTCCAGTATCTTGGCTTTCTTCTAGATAAAAGACTAACGTGGAACCCACATACCAGACTTAAAAGACAATAACTAAACAGACGATTCGGACAGCTATATAGACTGATGAATAGAAAATCTCAACTTTCAGTCGACAACAAACTACTAATCTACAAGACAATCCTGAAACCTATCTGGACCTACTGACTAGAGCTTTGGGCATCAACAAAACCTTCCAACATTAAGTGCATTCAATCCTGTCAGTCTAAAGTCCTCCGAACAATAGTCGATGCTCCCTTCTATGTATCCAACAAAACCCTCCATAATGACCTTCAAATCCCCATTTGTTATTGAACTAATCCCAGACAAATTCTCCAAATTTCACCAGAAACTCATTTATCATCCAAATCCTGTAGCACAATCGCTATCTTGCTCCATCCATCCCTACAATACTCCGATAAGGTTAAAACGGCAGTGGCCCAGCGACCTTTTGTAAATAGGTATATATTGGAGTACTGGCAATGGCCAGATTCTCCACTCAAGTCCTGAGCGTCTGTTGCTCTAGTGCTCTCCATCAGTCTCCACTGGCTTGCAATACCAGTGACGCGGTTTTGAGAGAAGCACTGGGATCTCATGGGGTCCTGCCTTGGCTTCCACATTTAGGGGACAAAGCATGACTCTGAATCCTCTGGGCGAATGTAAATATTGTATATAGGTGTGAATGTTAGAGGAAGGGGTGGCCGAATGGGCTAAAGCGTGTGCACAGCACCGCGATTTGCCTGGCAGCCGAATTACAGATTTGAGAAGATTCAAAAAAAGTACGAGTTCGCGTCCCGGTGCCGGGGGGATTTTAAAATTTCCTTGATTGAACTTCAGTTAACCATGAAAGTCATGAATGATTGACTGTAGTAGTTCTAGCTTGAACTGTAATTGTACAACTGGCCCTATGTAACGTTCATTCGGATAAAGTCAGTTCGAGTCAACTAATTTTACATTTGATTTAAAATATCTCAAAAACTAAAATTTGGACCTCCATACTGTAAGTGAGGGAAATGTTCATCATTTCGTCCTCTTTGTAAAGAGCTATTGTCAAAATTGCATTTTTCCTTTTTATTCAGATTTCCGGTGGCAATATTTCCTAGATTTATTCCTTTTTTTTAACCAAAAAGCCATCTTACCTTCTTGATTTGTTTGCTGGCGAAGACTTATCCAAGTTTCATTGAAATCGTTGAAGCATCCAAGTATCATTGAAATCGTTGAAGCCGTATTGGCGCTACAGTATAAAGCGAATCAAGTTTTTCGGCCCCCATTTCGAAAGACAAGGCTTCATGATAATGAAACGTATACAAAAACACTTCTAAATATTACTGTGACGTTGTATAAAAAATTAAAAGAAATCTGTGAAGAACTTTCGGAGATTAGCCGTTTTGAACAAAATTTATTTTACATACTATTTTTTTTAAAACTTATTTATTGGAAAATATTACAATCTGTCTCAGGGACCACCGTTGCCCGGCAACCTGATCTATAAATCAAAGATATAAAAATAGTAACGAGTTCGCGTCCCGGTGCCGGTGGAGTCTTTTAAATCCTCGCCCACACCCCTTGGCCCGGGAAAATCCCGTATAGGCTTAACGGCGAGGAAGGGAAGGACCAAAAAAAAAAAAAAAATCTGTCTCAGGGACATTTATAATAGTGGCATGCTATTTAATATTTTTATTTATTGATAACACTAAAGCTCGTCTATATATATTAAACAAAAAAAGAAGGAAGAAAATCGGTTGAATAATAGAGGCGTAAAAGAGGCTGAAACGTTTTGTGTTTGGCTATTTATATAATGGTTATAAGGTTAGATTATTATGAGGTTAAATGATTATTGACTGTTAGCTAACAATTTTCTTATTTTTTATATTGCGACTAAAGTTTATTTTTATTCTTTTCAAAGTTAGGAATGTTTTGCTCTCGAGCACAGGCGAATTAGTTTTTTGTTGTGGTTAACCAATGGTGGTGTGGTCAGCAGCCTCTAAAACGCCGACGCAAACCCTTAAAGGATCGATGTCCTTTCAAAACTTTACCCGGAAGCGCCGATGTTCTGTGAGGAACTGCGAAACTCAGAAATTCGGAAGAACCCACTTCGCTTCTAACGCGGTCTGACTGTAAGGAAGTTCATACTTAAGGTACTATTTCGCTGTTGTTGCGTAGCTGTTTCGCTGAAACTGCTCACTGTGGTTGTTATAACCTGCCTATAACCTTCGAACATTTCGTTCTATCTTCGAAGATAAAAAAACGGACTTACTATCTCTTAAGGGGACCCTACACGGTAATTCATGAATGAACGTCACAAGAAGTTCCAAGATTGCCCGCTATCGCTTTGATCATGAAGACTCTTACACGTTCAATCATTACTGATCATTACTTATGTGAAGTTTCCACTTTTTTTTCTCTCCAATTTATTGTCTACTTGACTTTTTAAAGAAAAAATAGTTCAAAATGGTTAATAATAACATAGACTTATAGTTAATAATAACAACTATCTACTTTTATGAAATTATTTACTTAATAACGACACTTAGGTAAACTAACCTATCTAGTAGTAAGGTTAGTCTCATAGAAAACCTAACCTAACCTATCACTTCTCGTGAATGAACCTTTGATTTCCGGATGTTCGGAAATCCGCAGCGCACCACCATCAGTACTTCATTCACTACCTTACACGACAATTCGGAACGTCATTAGTGCAATTCCGATTGACCGTGTAGGGTCCCCTTTACAACCGTTGTTTTATTATTTATTTGATGTAGTTTGGATTTAAGTATATTTGAATTTCGCTGTAAAATTTTGTTGGTGGAATAAATAAATAATCTAGTTACTTCAATCTTAAAAAAATAATTTACTATTGGGTTTTTAAGTTTTAAATAATATTTCTTATAACTTTGCCAGACTTGAAAGAAACATAGGAAATAAAACGTATGTATAACAACGTGACTGTTATCATCAAAACAATGCTCTGATATGATAACATAACCTAGAACTTGTAAATAACCAAATAAAGTTAAGTGTTAATAATTAGTTTTGGCAAGAATAGGCGAATAGCCTTCCGCTTTTTAATCGGGGATTTAGGTTATTTACACTCGTGATTATTAAAACAAAACCCCGGCGCTGAATATAGATTTTTTGAGGGTGTCGTTGGAATATTCGGGTATCTTTTGTGACACGGAGTGACAAGAAACAATAAGAACATATATATAATGTGGGACTATATATATCAAAGTAAACACACT